CCTATAAGCTTCATTCCCCGGAGGTGTTTGGAACGAAGGGCGTTGCGAAGTCGCGACAATTTAGGATCCTACCGAGGCTCACTTTTGACGTTAAATGTCAATGACCTGACCTTAACCTTGGCACCCAGAGTGGGGTGTCGGACGGACCCCACCCCAGCCCCCAGTTTTTTGCGAATAACTCGCGCAAAAAGCGGCTGATCGCGGCAGAACTCTCAATTCCCTCGAGTCAATCAACTTTACACCTACTATAAAAAAACGTTAATGACCTTGACCCAAATGACCTTTGACCTTTTTCGACACCATGTTTGGCCAGAATCGCGATTCGGCGTATGGCGTATGCTCACGGCGTATGCGCGCGGGTATCTAGTCTTGTCGTTGCTTTAAACGTTCAAACATGTGGAATTATTTTGATCCCATGGATTATGGTGGGTGTCAAGGCAACGTGAAGGTCAGGTCAGGCCATTGACCTTTGATAACCTTGGTTCACTTTCTCGAGTTTTACATGTTTTTTAGGGTAGATCTTGGAGTTGATTTTGCATTTAGCAACCATATGAACATTTACCAAGTAGTTTTGGTTCCTTCGTGACATATTACGAAGTTGTCTGTGGTGGTTGACATCTACAACGGATAGAGCTGACAGGACGCTTACTGGTTGACTTGACCTTGACCTTGACCTGACCTGACCCGACCTGGCCTAAAATCATGGAAACATCACCTGCGATTAAAACTAACATGAAATTCGTGACCAGCACTCCCTAAACCCATAATAGCTTCATTTTATGAAGTACTAGCAGGTCCCAATTTTTCCGACTTTTGGGTCATTGACCTGTCAACTAATGACCTAAAACTTAAAATTGGGTATCATCGACTTCCTCTCGTCAAGGGAAACACGCTAGTTTTTTTCGCAAAGCTCTAACTCGATCAGGGGCCAAACGGCAAGAGGGGTCTAAAGGAACCCATCCCCCTATTACAAACGCTAGATGCTGGCAAAACACCACGACGGGCGAGGGTTAAAATTCGGTTGCTGTCACAAGATTCGGATTGAATTAAAGGCCAGGTTTGCCAAATTTCAGCTCTCGCAGCTATCACAAATATAAACATGTGGAGGCGGCAACCGCCTCCCCCCACCCCTCTTCCCCTCTCGGCCGGCGAGGTTTAATTTGGGTTAAATGCACATTACAAGGCATTAAGCAAATGACGCAACCGAATAGTCTTGTGCATTGAACAAAAACTTGTTACCCACGCTAGTCTATCGGCACCATAACACATGGTCGAGACTGTCGTTCGCCACGGGCACGCTCTTTACCAACCCTCTGAGCCCAGTGACTGCGGGTGACCTTGACATGTCAAGCCTGATTGGCCGCCGGCCGCTGTCGTGCGGTCGTTACACGGGGAGGGGAGGAAGACACAGCGCTCTACGTTGTATCTGACCTATGACCTTTCCCAGTTCCCTGCTCACTGACCCCGCTCCATGTCGCTGGGCGGTGGCGTGGCGTTGGCGGGCGGAAACCGGTTCTAGCCTCTAAACATGCCACCATTCTAACCCTCCCCTCCCCACGCTACTACGCGGCGTGGAGTACGCTCGTGCGTAACTGGGCGGAGCAAAGGGTCACGCGATACAGAGGCGGAACTGGTTGCCCTCCCGCTCGCTGAGCGACCAACGACTAATACCCTGGAGAACCGTACGTGTTGGGTTCTCGTATCGGAGTTCAGCATTGCCCCTCCAGTCCAAATGTTCCCCAGAATAGATATACCTACTGTGGCGCCGGGCTGGAGCGGCTGTAGGCGCGGTGCTGACCGGTCGGGTCAGGTCGGCTGTGGCAAAAGGGCAAGTTGGGGGGAGGGGGCAACTGCCCCACCAACTGTACAGGAAGCTCCGCCCCTGAAGAAGAGTGAGCATTACTGTTATTCATACACACTTGCATACATTCACATGATCACTCAGATGCCTTTTCAGCTTTCCATTCATGGTTGGGAGAAAAGTAAGCAGACTGGTCGCAGAAGTTCAACCACGCCAAAAATGGCTTACCGTCCATTATTTAATTGCATATTGATATTTGCGAGCGACGTCTAAGCGAGATGAAAGAATAATTCGCGAACTCACTAGAATGAATCGGTACCTACTCCGCGAATTCCAACAGCAACTGGGAAAACACCAATACGGGCGAGGGTTAAGTCGCAGACGATCTAACCAATATGCCCTTGCATTCTTGATTCTTGTCATAAGATAGCTGCATGAAACGCAAAGGACCTTCGCAAACTCACTAGAATGAATCGTTACTCCGCGGATTCCCCGGGTGGTTCGCGGATCTCGTCAACTCTTCAGGGAGTTCGCGGTTATCCTAAAGAGTCTTGTTCATCCGCGGATCCCCGCCCGTTTATCCGCGAATATACTAGACTTGATGTTCATCCGCGGAGCCACCGATTTCGCAAACTCACTCTAACATCGACATACTCTGCTTTTCCGTGAAGGAAAATTGGCGTTGTGAATTTTTTATTTTTTGGGACAAAACCCTAATCAATTTGCAACAATACGCATATAAAATTCACGCGGAAGTGATAAATTAAGAGCTCCTAACTAAATGTTCAAAAGTAACATTCATTATGAAAGACCCTGTAGGAATTAGCGGGAGACATTGGTCTGGGCGGGCACCCTGGTAACCCGTTGGAGCTGAGCTGTGAATAGCAGTGGACGTGGACAGGCCACCCAGCCCCGCTAGCGATCATGGCACCCGGCCATGGGCGTGCTCCGGGGTGGAGCTACCCATGTGGAATAAAGGTGACCGTCCAGCATGGAACAGGGGGTGCGGATGAGAAGGATTAATCTATCCTGATTCCTGAGGATGGAAACAACGGAACGGAGGGGGGAAGAGCTCTCGCATGAGAATACCCAAAGCATGAATGCATAGTCAATGACTTTTCGAACAGTCTAGCGTATGTATTAACCCGCGCCCGGCTGGGGGTCCTGGATTTCCACGCCCTGCTGGGGGGGGGGGTGTTTGAACACCCCCCTTGTAACTCGGCTCCTGGGCCACGTAGCGATACGCGGAAGGCGGCGTTCGAAAGAGCATCAAAAATAATGACGAAATCACTTCAGTCAATTTTTTGGTCAGGTCAAAGGTCAGGTCACCAGAGGTCATTAAAGGCAAAATTTCGCCGATTTCCAGGTCGAATATCGAAAATTTCCAAGAAGCCAACGCATAACTCGGGAACCAATAGAGCTACAGCGCCGCGGAAAAGCGCATTCGATAGCCCTATTAACGCCCTTTCTGAGTAAATCTCTCAGATTTGACCTAACGTCAACGGTTTTGCCTGCAGGGGGCAAAAACTGCAAAAATAGCCGATTTTTTCGGAAACAGTTTTTCTGCAATAACTTTTGACCAAAGCCTTGTACGAGCTTACTATTACCGGCATCGTGTTCCTCTCGTCAAGATGCATCGAATGAACTATAACTTGACCTTGAAAGGTCAACTTTAAAATTTGACCTCAGGTCAAGGTCATGACCTGACCGGAAAGGGTCATGTTGCATATCAGTCGATCCGTATCGTCGAGCTGAACACATCTAAGGCGTTTTCATCGCTCTAGCATGCCTCTATCAAAAGTTATTTGCGAAAAACTGTTAGATACCATTCGTGACCTAAGATGACCTCAGGGCATAAACAAGGGTCACGGACACCATTTTCATGTTCAGTGTGTCTAAACCACTTGTAATTCGGTGTTTGGGAGTGTTTATAATGTATTTCGTCCAAAAGAGGCGCATTTCAATTTTCTCCCATTGACTTATAATGGGGAGGTCGCAAAATTGACCTGACCTTAGGTCATCGATATCATAATTCTGAGATATACATTTTGTACATGCTGTTGCTCTTAGCAATCGCTGAAAGTTTCAAAGCGATCGGTCACTCGGTGTAGCTATGACAGACATTGAAACTTTTTATGAGGTGAGGTCACTTCAAGTGACCTGGTGACCTGACCTTGAATGACCTTGGTCTGAAATTTTCACAACATGTGTAGAATTGATGTATGATAAGGTGTACCAAAAACGGCGGCGCGGAGATATTCGCGAAAAACCACAAGGGGGTGTTCAAACACCCCCCAGCAGGGCGCGGGTTAACATACATACGTATACGCTGAACACGTGACAAAACAAACGAAGGCAAAAATTAGAAATGAACACCAAAGGCAACGTTATGTAAACCCTTGATTTCAAGGCTAATCGACAATAACGTTTTATGACAAGGCTAGCACGTTTTATGTTTAACAAGCACCCCAAATCATAAAAAAGAGTTCACCTTCGCACGCCAATCGACGGCATTGCAAAAACCATTGCAAAGCGGCACAGCGTTCATGGTGGCAACGATGGAGTTATTTTTTAAAGGATTTATAATAATGTAGATGGATTCCAACTCGTAGAAGAACCTACCACCGGGACTACACGGACAGACGAATGTCCCAATCGTTGAAGCCGTCATGCGGCGATTGTCTGGATACCCATGGCCTGGACTGCACCACTCGTGTTTTACTGCTTCCCACTACCCATACGTCCAACTGCGCCACTTTTTCTGACGAATGACTACCTTATGTAAGCTGGAAATACAGACACCAGTGAACACACTTTATGCCGAAAGGCACCTTAGACATATAGTTTCCAGCTTTCTTGATGACTGTGCAGCAAAGTGACTGGCCGATAGTGGTCGGAGTCCGGTGCACTCACATATTCTTCTACGCCTTTTATCGGTTCTCCGACATACACGTGGGCGTCGGCCGTCGTTCCCAGCATACGTTAAATATTGATAAGTCATAAACGAGAGTCGATACCCACGGTGTTCCTCATGTATGACAGACAATGTGCGTTGTATTCTATCGTGACGCTTTATCCAGCACTCCTGCAGTATCCAGCAGACGATTTTGAAGAATGAATATTAGTTCTGTATCAATCTACTCTTGCATTCCATTGTACACTTTTGCGTTTCATTGATACAGAATTACAAACAATTGAATTATTGCTTTGGGACTATATTGAATGCAAAGCACGCATAATCAAATTTCAATCCATCACAAACAGTACAAAAATACACACGCGGCAGTATACAAATGGCAACAAACCCCTGACCTGTCCAAGACCAACTCGACCTGGAACGGGCGAGCTAGACCAATCGAGACCCACCCGGTCCACACACGGTACGCCGAGGGCCACATCGGAGAACAATTGTACAAAATCGGAGAGTAACAACGAGCAGACGACGGCAGGAAGACACTCCGTCCCTGAACGAACTCGGTAGCGCGTCCGGACCAATGCTATCACTGTGTTTTGTACCAACGGTCACACCCAAAGTGGATTAACTGCTGTCTGTTTAACTTTTACTGCAAATCTAAGCCTAAAATAAGAGAGGAAAACATGCTCAGGGATGGCACTAAGAAGTTAAAGACGTCTAAATTAACAGTAAGAGCCAAACGTAGTATAAAAATGCATGACCGATGTCGGCGCATGGCAAAACCAACTCATAATGAAATGAGCCACCAATATCGGAAGGATGGCCTTGTTTAGACATGTAGCCTTTTCGTCTTTACAATTCACAAGACATGCAGTCATTCAACCAAATGCCACACTATAAAAACAGAATCTACGAACACAAAAAGAACACATCACCACTGCTCCCGTTGAAATCAGCCAGCAAACCTCCCACAATAACCAGCCATGCCAATCAAATGACATGAACGCCGGCTATAAAGGTCACGTCACCAGCAGGACAATCGGCGAAGCACGCTAGACGGAATGCAGCAGCCTTGATGACCAGCCGCAAAGTGGAGCAACGCCGCCAACATCAATAAAAAAAAAATGATCCGAATTATAAATGATCGCCCTCTACGAAGCCGAGGCCGAATGACCAGGGATATCCGAAAATGACCACCTAACGCCGAATGCGCGGTTCACGAATGTCTGCTAATTCAGCAGGAATAAAGAAGGACGTAGTTAGTTCGACAGTATCGGTGTGAAAATGTCAGACAGCCGCTTGCAAATCACTAGCCAACATCAGTCCCACCATCCCTTCGGTACCGGCCCTCCCGCTTCGCCTCGTACTTGTTTACTTTTTAATGTTATCAGCTGTTAGAAGAGATTACTTGTGCAAGAGAAACGAGCTGAACTTTTGATGACGTCACCCATTAATAGTGCGAGTCACGAGTCACGACTCAACCATTCATTAATCGCGATTGTGTCTTGTCAAAGGCAGGGAACATGAAAGGGATTTGGGCCAAGGGATGAACAAAATATTCCAGGGTAAGCTATTTTGTAGCTTGTTGCAGACTGAAGGCCTGAGGCCCATTATATAATGAACTTGCCTTAAATTCATTTCTGTTTTTCATCACTTAACTTTTCTATACCAGCTATGCAGGCCAGATTGGCCGTGTGCTTTGCTGTATCTATAGCATTTTAAGTTTTTTGATGAAGGTATATGATCATTTCACGATTTCTGAGCACATGACAATAAATTCCGAATTTAGCATGTTTAACCGCCGGCCAGCCGGTCACGGGCAAGGAATATCCTCAACAATCACTTTCGAACACCATCCCATTCCATGGTGTCACTCAAGACTGACATGTCACCATGACTGATCACAGGTCGGAGCCCACAGCCACCTCCTGACCGGTCACAGGTCAGACCACGGTCACCCCCTCTGACCAGTCACAGGTCGGACCACCGTCACCCTTTGACCAGTCACATGTCTGACCACCGTCATCCCCTTACCGGTCACAGGTCAGACGCCACCCCTGATCCCCCTCTGACCGGTCACAGGTCAAACCATGTCCCCATCTGACCGGTCACAGGTCGGAGTCCACAGCCACCTCCTGACCGGTCACAGGTCAGACCACAGTCACCCTCTGGCCGGTCACAGGTCGGTCCAGTCACCCTCGGACCGGTCACAGGTCGGCCCACAGTCACCCCCTGACCGGTCACAGATCGGTCCAGTCACCCCCTGACCGGTCACAGATCGAATAGTCACCCCCTGACCGGTCACAGGTCAGACGTCACCCCTGATCCCCCTCTGACCGGTCACAGGTCAGGCATCTCCTGCACCGCGTACGACACGTCGTCCACGCTGATGTTGAGTCTCAGCCGGGTCTCGAGGTCATGTCTGGCGTGTTGGGCGTGCAGCAGACGGACCGCCGTCAGCTGACTCACCAGAGCGAACACCTCGGAGAGAGTGGGAGGCGAGACGCCTGGCGGAGAGAGGCACCGGTCAGAGACGGGGCAGGGGACGAAACCAGTCAAAGGCGGGGCAACGGCATTGGTTGAAAGAACGACACCGGTCAGACAAAGCGGTGGGACCGGTCAGCGGTGGGAAACAGGAGCATCGGTGAGCGGCGGGGGCAGTGGTATCAGTCAGAAGCGGGGGACAGCGACATTAGCCAACCAGAACGACGCCGATCAATGCAAGGGCCACAGCAACGGACAGCGGTCGGAGACAAACACAGGGCGACAACGGTCAGCGGCGAAAGAACGCAGAGGGCAGGGCCAGCGGCAGGACTGCAGGAGTACAACAGACAGCAAAGTACATAGCGTTGTAGGGTGAGGAAGTGTCACATACGACAAAGGCTTTAACGGGGGCTTCTGAAAAAGTAAAAGCGTTGGAGGGGTGCAGCCAGTAATGTTGAATCGGTTACAACGGTTGAAAGGTTTCCTGCGAGGTAGCAACAGTTTCCCAGGGATACGCTCAGTATGCACGCAGTCCAGAATGAAACACAGAACAGACGGTTGTCTTCACAATTTACATCGCACAAGGACACAAAAAGGGCTGCAACAGCGCACACGCAAAGGCTAACGCATGAATTCAGAGCCTGCCGCATAAAGTTCTCATCGACAAGACATGCAGCCAAAGTCCAAACGACATTAAATCTGCTATGCATCAAACTAATCGAATGTCACTGATTATCACTATGGGGATCATTAAATGTAAAGAAAGCAGCGTGCGTCAACCGACTCCATTAATAGCCAATGCATGGATGTTTCATGGTTATGCGTTATCTGCATGTAAGCAACAATGTAAAGCTAACGATTACAATACCTAAGACATTATGAAAATGGTGCAGGGACATATCCAGCTTTATGCGCTACAAGCGCTGCTGAGGATGTAAAGGCTCATCTTATTCACACGCTACTGCTGAGTTTTCACTAACGAGTGTATAACCAACGCTAAAGTACTGTTTTAATTCCGGATATAACTCATTATTCATTACAAACACCCAAGTGTTCAAAGACATTAAGGATAAACACTTAAATGCTACATTGCTCTATTCACTCTTTCGTTTATAACATTCGTGCAATTACGCTCTCACGCGGCCACGCCCCATTTCACAATATTGCATGCCACGTAAATATTACAACGGACTTTTTGTCGCGACAGAGGCACGTGCACGGCAGTCTCATTATAATCGGTTCAGGCCTAAAGTGCAACCCTAAAAACCGTGTCCTAGCACGCCGCAAAGTCAAGGTGCTGGCACGTGACCGGTTATTTTCGGTCATGAGACTCCCAAATCACCTCAGCCGGCGTAGTTACCACCAGCGACTGCATATCAAAGCGCAATCGATCGACAGCGCACAGTCGTTCTAGTCATTCGCCAGGACGATAGAAATGGGGAGCGGGAACTTTAGTATGCGTACGTCACATATACACGGTAGACGTAGTTGAAGCTACGCATGGTGCAAGCTTTACGTCGAAAAGCTTTTAGATGCATTTATGATTCAGCGATTTTAAGCCAAAATGATCTGCTTCACTCGTTCCTTTACACTTAGACTGATTCCCTTCATTAGACTGATGAGGTCATATGGCTGAAGCGAACATATGGTTACACTCGCACCGGATAAACGGAAACAAGCTGGGTGCATAACAAAATGGCTAAACGCTGCTCATCACTCTGGATGTTGCAACTTGCACGTTCCTCGAAAATATCTGTCATCACAAAATCATGAACTTCTTTGGAAGGTAGTGCACGTATCTGATAATGCTCAAGTACATTGCATAAGGTACTCTATCAAATTCCTAAAAGACGCCTCGCTCCCGCCCAGCCTTGTACGAGCGTACCTTCGAACCGGCAGGCGGCAGCCATCTGTTCATATACACGGCCCAGCCGGGCCTCTTCCAAGCCGGTGCGCTGAAACTCGGACACCACAGCCTGGAGCAGGGAGCGCGCCTGTGCCGGGCACGACCTAGAACAGAGACAGAGGAACTGAAACGGAGACAGAGGAACTGAAACTCGGACACCACAGCCTGGAGCAGGGAGCGCGCCTGAGCCGGACACGACCTGAAACAGAGACAGAGGAACTGAAACGGAGACAGAGGAACTGAAACTTAGACACCACAGCCTGGAGCAGGGAGCGCGCCTGAGCCGGGCACGACCTGAAACAGAAACAACTTCCCTGAAATTTGAGGGACTTTTTGTTGACAAATTTGACAATTTTTATTAACTCAAATTCAACCGACATCCCCTGCAAGAGTGACCCTAAACGGGGCACGGTCTGACGGCAGAAGAGCTTCAACTCGGCAACCACGGTCCGAAACAGGAAGGGGAGGTGGATTCTTCCGTCATGCTTATTGCTAAAAACATTCTCGGCTGAAAATGTTATCGAAGGCCTACTTCAAGCACAATTAACCAGCTTTAGGCAATACCATCAGCATCGGTATCGAATCTGGTACATCGGCACGAATCTGATTCACCTAGAATCAAACAGTCGCCTTCTTGAGCAACGATTAAAACATGCGACACCGTTAGGGGTGAATATTTAATATGTTTGAGGATTTCAATAATAGCTATTAAACCAAAATTTCCCGTAGCACTGTCGCGTGATCGGTGACAGGCACAGTGGTAGGCCAGCCCGCGTTACCTATAACCACCGGCTACCATCAAGTCCCGTACGGCAAAAACATATCATTTTCGTCATTGTGACAGTGCAGTTCGGCACTCACGAGTGCAGCATCCAACAAACAGCGTTCGCATGTCCACCAAGCAATTATCCCCTCGACCTCTGCGGAGCGGCTGCTTCTCGGACAATCAGTATAATTTAGGTAAACACACGAATTTAGGCCACACGCACCACATTTCCAAAATGGAGGCAAATAATCTGGATAATATACCAGTAAAACGCCTTTTGGGCGAAGAACGAGCGAGCGAGATAGTGAGCCCTGCACGTGCGGAAGGGCGAGAGGGTACTTCCAACGGGCTTGTGCAAAGCACCCTTCTAACCGGTCGCTAGCGGTGTGCCAAATTTGAACGCAATCGGCCCAGCCGTTCCTGAGATCTGGAAGCGGCATTCTGCACGTGCGCACGTGCAAACGGAGTCCAAAATGACTTTTGCACTGCACCCTACTAACCGGTCCCCAACCGTGTACCAAATTTGAGCGCCATCGGCCCAGCCATTCTCGAGATCTGGAAACGCCCCCTGCACGTGCGCACGTGCAGTAGCACCCTAACCGCAACACATGGGAATGCATTGCCTGGTGGGTGCCTACCTGTATGCCAAGTTTCAGCAAAATCGCCCCAGTAATTACCGAGTTACTGAAATGGGAACAAATTTGGCACCTCTTCTTTTTGTATTTTGCACGTGCAGTGGGGGTCACTCACATAGATCAAGAGTATCCGACCTTTGGTAGAAGGGATGCAGCTACCCTACAAAAATTACCGCAAGTCAATCGCCCAAGCGGCTGCTGAGATATGAGCCTCTCAAAATCACTACTTTTGCAAAACAGCTTGAACACCCTTGACTTTTCACGTGGCACGTGCCACGACGGTCACTGAGATGTATCAAAAGTAGTCAATTACGGGGTAGAAGGGATGGGGCTACCAGTGGCGGCGGAAGGTATTCTAGGATAGGGGTGCAAACGATATTGAAGCGCCCCTTCCCGCTGGGCGCCCCTTACCATATACACGGTTGTAGTAACACAAACAGTGAAGAGACGTTTGACAATGTGTTGTACCTGTTAACACGTTCAGAATTACAGTTTTTATGTAACGAGAAATAGTTAGGTACATTCCATAGCGTAAATGTAACCTTCATAATGTTCGTTTAGAAACAACCTCATCACCATATCCTAAGATTCTCCGAATAAGGCATATCGAAAAGAGTTCCACGGTTCCAATACCTTCGTGTGGACTAGTGAATAAGGCGCCGAATCCATAACACTAACTCGGTGACAGAGAATTGCAGGCCGGTAAGCAGCATGCCGCCTGGGCTGCACTGCACTATTGCATTCAATGGTGTCATCAGTATCACGTCAGCCCTTCGGAACGGACATCCTGGCTCAATGTCATTCAAGCATTTGTAAATTGCCTGCATTCAAGATATGCCTGCATTATTGCCTGTATTATACAGGCAATCAACGCTGGTAGGTGTCCCAGCGAAATGAATGCATCTATTACCACCCAGAGGTGCCCCCATTTCAAACTAATACGACGGCGACGCCTCCACACCGATAGGGGCTCATCCCAGGGGAACGGAATAAATGCCGCCCCCTCATTGCCGGGCGCCCCAGGAGAATGAATGTTACACATCAACACCAATATGCCTCCCAGTGAAATGAATTATGAATGTCGCCTTTCGACGCCGGTAGGCGCCCCAGACACCAGTGGATTTACTGCCGCCTTAAAACACCGATAGGCACCTCAGTGAAGCGAATGCCGGCCTATACCACCGATAAGCGCCCCGGATGAATAAATACCACCCGTCAACGCCGATAGGCGCCTCAGTGAAATTAATGCCGCCCCAATCTCCGATAGGCGCCCCAGGTGATACATGTCGCCCATCAACACCAACGGGCGCCCCATTGAAATGAATACCGCCCTTCAACACTGGCAGACGCCCCAGTGGAATGAATGCCGCCCCACAATGCCGATGGCCGTCCCTGCACTGGAAAATCAGTTTCGCCCCCTATACAGGCGCCCATAGAAGTTTGCAGAGTGCTATTCCTGGTCATAATCATCTCCCCAGTAAAAAAAAAAACGCAAAATACGCCCTAGCACTAGGGGTGTAACCGCCCATACGGACAGTGCAATTTTACAGGCCCCAATCTCGGACCTCCCTTAACATTCATATGTTGTAAACGGCAAACCGCCCCCGATAAATGTTACACAAACTAATTTACTCTCGCATATCGGCCATCAGGCGCCCCTTTTTGTCGCATGGAGCCTGCAACGCTATAAGCCCTCATATGTTCGTGTTGGCGTTCGGAGTCTCCATAAATGTTTCTTTTTCGTCCCACACACAGGCGCCCCTCTTTCGCATGCAGGCGCCCCTCTTCCGCATGGCGCGCTTCTCGAGTGGCTGCGCTTTCCTAGCCTTTATCGCCTGGCAAGATTATATTCGACAGGGTCGGCAGCATCTGCCTTTGTTTCAGATAAGGATGCCCTCCACTCTTCAGCATATCAAAAGATACTTTTCCCACGTCATTGCCACCCTCTTCGTGTCACAAGTGCCTTTATCAGTTGCGGTGTCGCACTGCTCAGCTTTATGGCTGCCGCACCTCTTAACTTCCTGCCACCTCTACAGATTTTCGAGGCGCCCCTTTCCATAGCTTTAGGGTGCAGCTGCCCCCCTTGCCCCCCTGCTTCCGCCGCCACTGGGCTACCCAGCAAAAAAGACCGCAGGTCAATCGGTCCAGCGGTTGCTGAGATATAAGCCTCTCAAAAGCGTTACAGGCCGGGCCGGGCCGGGCCGGGCCGCTCATACTGAGATTTTTCCGTTATATTGAAAAGACTCACTTCGCTCGCTGCGCTCGCTCGCTCGTAACAACCACTTTTGTCATAGTGGTCTTGTTGATACCAGCTTATAACTAGCCTTGAATTAGATCAGGGTAAATTAACGTTTTGCCATGAAATCAGTGTGAGGTTTGCTGTAAAACAAGTGTCAAAAGCTCCTTAAAATCAGAAGTTTTCGTGTAATGATGATGAATTGGGGTTTTTGGGCGCCCAGACTACAGTGGTCATCGGCGCCCAGTTTTCGTGTAAGCTGTGCCAGAATAAACGATAAACAAACAAGCAATGATGCAATCTACGCAATAAGAAGATCGATAAAATGTTAGCGGCTTGCCATTGCGCTAAGCTAAGAACAGACCTATGTGCATGAGAACTGAGAAGGCAAAAAGTAAGAGTAACTACAAATAGAATAATGTTTGCTTCTGTTTTTTTTTTTACGAGCTCGGACCATCTTTTCTAAATGGGAGTTCTACAGCTGAGCTGCTGTATGAAAGGCCAATGTACTTACATTACAAGATAAAATAAATAAAATCCGCCTCAGCAGCAACGCCCGTGTGAAGATGGACCTTCCTAACAGCGTTTTCCACGAACGAACACGACAGCTGGAACAGCCGGAACAGCAGTCACTCAGCCGGACAATGTGGATATCATGGAGCCCTGGATGAGCGGATGATGCACATTGAACGAGTCCTAAATGAGCCATGTTGACCAGTCAGAATTCGGAAACGTTAGGTTTACCTGGATCATAGTCAATACGCTGTAATATTGACCCCCCCCCCCCCCCCTCCCCACGACATTAAATTCGCGTGGTGATCCTTTCAGTCATAGTGTGGGTCTGCTCCATAAGGGAGCCTAAGTGATACAATTTACGAGTATAGCTAAAAAAAGATGCGAATTTCAGTTCAAATGATAAACAATCACGAGCCCAGTGTATGCTTAGTGTATAACTGTATAATAAAATATTCAAACCGACAAAGAAGCCTAATTATTGCAAAGCAACTCATCATAATCTACGATACCGCAGAGGCAGTTAGGCGCCTTTTTGAGACGGGCGACAAACGAGCGAGCGAGAGAGCGGGCCCTACACGTGCGCTAGTGAGAGAAGATACTTCCAACTGACTTGGAGAGCACGGGCACCCTATTTGCCGGTCTATAGCAGGGTGCCAGATTTGAGCGCTATCGGCCCAGCTGTTCTTGAGATCTGGAGGCGTCACCATGCACGTGCACACGTGCAAACTGGGTCTCATCTGAACTTTGAACGGCACTCTTCTCGACGGTCCCTAGCTGTAAACCAAATTTGAACGCAATCGGCTTAGCCGTTATCGATTGAAAATGACCCCTTTACGCGCGCCTGTGCGGTAGCACCCCAAACGTGACACATATAATGCATTGTCCGGTGGGTGTCACATGCATGCCAAGTTTCAGCGCAATCGCTCCAGTAATCGCCGAGTTATTGCAACGGGAACAAATTCATCAACTCTTCATTTTCCATTTGGCACGTGCAGTGGGGGCCACCCACATGCATCGAGAGTAGACACCATTCGATGTTTGGTAGAAGGGATGCAACTACCCTACAAAAGTGACCGCAAGTCAACGACCCCAGAGGTTTCTGGGATATAGACCTCCCAAAAGTGCTACTTCAGCACAACAGCTTGAACACCCTTGAATTTCCACGTGGCACGTGGCACGACGGTCACCTAGATGTATCAAGAGTAGCCAATTTCGGGGTAGAAGGAATGGGGCTACCCAACAAAAAAAGATCGAAGGTCAATCGGCCCAGCGGTTGCCGAGATATACACCCTAAGTAAGCCTCTCTAAAGAGTTACAAGCCGGGCGGGGCCGCTCATACTGCATTTTTTCTCGTTAATTTGAAAAGACTTCGCAGCGCTCGGTCGTAACAAAATGAAACAACGAAACTGAATGCCATGCCACGGTGCAAAACAAGTAAAAAGCTAGATCGGGCATCCGTTTTAAAAACCTTCAGTAATGTTGAATACAGAAAATGGATCAAGTCACGCGGTTTTCCAACACGCAAAAACAAAGGCGGCCATTTGTTGGAAATGCTAAGGTCAGAAACACAAGTCTCAGGGCGGAAAACACGATGTGAGCACGTGACGTGTTCACTGTCCGCCACGACAGGGACGGAGCACGCACCTCGCGCGTGCAGGACCGGCATGGCGACACACGGAACGATACGGAAATAACCATCCAATGGATGTGAGGCAGGACCCGCTCAGTAATAGCAAATCACCGCAAAGGCTTGTCCAAGTAAACAAGCTATTGATAGCTTCACAGACTAGATCCTTTACAGGAATAATTAAGTATGTACTGATTTACCCAAATGGCGACCCTATTTTTCACCGTTGCTATAAGTAGGTAATTCCTTTGATTGGACACATCGGGCACGTTTCCAGCTCCGTTATCAATGCAGCAGAAAATGGTGACGCTATGCCACAGTTACCTACCGGGTTAGGACGGTAGTGGCGTGCATCTGCAGTTTTTTTTTCTCGCTTAATGCTTCTACTGCTCCGCGAATAGTTAGGGGCTACTGTGAACTTCTATGGTACAAAAACATTGATGCTTGGATGTAAACAAAGGTCCAATAAACCGTTTTGTAACAGTAGTCAGACAGGTTGCGAACATTTTAAAGGTCGCTCAAATGGACTCGATCAAATAATCTCGAATATGACTAGCCAGATAATATCCCGCTTGTTTGCTAAAGGGGCTGGATTAGAAAGCAACGACTTCACCCATTGGACACCATTCCCGATCCCGAATAATCAGATAGAAGCAGCATCATTTTTTTTTTTTAGGCCCTTTCGGTCTGACAAGATCATTTCAGAGCCAGGAGGATGATAGGATTTGGGGGAGACATTGGTCTGGGCAGACACCCTACAGAGTCACCGGGGCTGAGCCCGTCCGAATGGACAGGCCGACCAGCCCCAAGCACTCTCTGCACCCGGATACGGGTGTGCTTCCCTGGGAGCAGCGGTGCCGCTCCAAGGGAGCAGCCCGCATGAGATAAAGGTGCCGGTCCAGCCCGGAATGGGGGTTGCGGCGTGGAAGAAGGATTTCAGTATCCTGAGGATGGAAACGACGGAACGGAGGAGAAACACCTTTATATTTGACGGGCATCTAATTGCAACAGAACCCGCACTTCACGGCACATTTCGCTCGGAAATGCTACACCATTCCTCATACATGGTTCTGGTAGCTTCTCAGTACTCACCGAATGGCGACAATTTTTGGCGAAGCGAACATCTCCTGGATGGCGGCGTTGACGTGCTCCATAGCCACCAGCGCCGAGGTCTTGGCCTTCCTGGGTGACATGTGGCGCCGCTCAGCGGCCGGACCGCGCTCCGCTAGTTCCGTGGCCCGCCGACAGATGTCGAGAGCGCGGCGGGCGTCACCGGACACGGCAGCCACCTTCCTGAAGAGGAGGACAGGCCATGTTAGCCAACATACAGCGCGGACCATGTCAGCCGACACAGAGCTCATCCGTCAGCAAATCAAACGCAAGGTGTTGCATGACATGATAGAGTAGAGAGTACGTTACTGAATTCGGCGCATCTCACTCTAAACACCACTCGATCGTCGTAGCCCGCCGAGCCGTGCGCCTTAAAATCTTCCCCTGTATTCCTTGTGTTTTCCATCTCCCCCTCTCTTCTTCGACAGCTCACCTGGCCACCAGCTGAATGGCGTCGGGGTCGAAGGCGTCGAGACCGCTCAGTCGGCTGGAGACAATCTCCTGGAGCTGTTTGAACGTGTACGGCTGGAAGGTCATCCGTGTCAGACCCTGACGGAGAGACGGCGAGGTCAGAGGTCACACAGGTCACACGTACCGATCAGTCAGACAGCAGATCATACATTGGATCGAAACGAGTCATCGGCGGATACAGTGAGGTCATGCGAATCATAAAAGGCTTGGCTTCTCTGGGATCGGTGCTATACCGCTGCACACAGGCAGGACCAGAAATACCAGCCGGATCGGCAGCACGAGTGAATTTACCCTATCACGACCACCTAATTTAGCATCACCAGATAATGCATGCACATTAACTGAGATTAGATAAATAAGAAATGTCGAGTATCCGCACAACAATCTATGAACAGACATGATGATAATGACGTTCGGCTTTTGGGCGCACGACGGCCGACACCATTGGTTGGCTGACTCCACAGATAAATGAAAACTGTGCTTTTTTATCACCTGTCTGCACCAATGAATCTAAATCATTGCTGCTCCCTCGCCTCTCTCCACCACCCTTCCCGTCCCCTCCACGGTCCGTCCCTCACCAGTCGACTGGAGACGCGGTTCATCATGATCCTCTCCGGCAGGTCCATCGTGTTGGCGATAGCGACGACGATCAGCCGCGCGTGCGGCCGGCTCGGCCAGTCGAATAGATTGTAGAGGACGTTCTGCTTCCTCGTCCACAGCAGGTCCAGCTACCGAGGGGGGGGGGGGACGGAGTGAGCACGGTGGGAGGGTGACGGCGCGCTCGGGGTCACTTTTTTAGTGGCCCTATCGGCGGGGGAACTGAGATATATAACAGCGGATGTGATTAAGCTGTACTGCAAGAGGAAAGACAACACTGAAATACGCAAGGTGTGATTGGAATATCAGTGCGATGTCGGGATAAAATACGCAAACGTGGGGGGGGGGGAGGGGGATTTAAATGCTCACAAGTGCTGAGCTACCCCTTTTCAATCATCAACGTAAAACGGAATATTTATTAGAGCATCATGCTTCCGAAACACCCGTTGTTTTCCATCCCTTCGCCTCACCTCGTCGACCATAAGCAGCAGCGGCTGGCGTCGGCCGGCCGGCTGTGAGAAGCGCTTATCGAGCATCTGAGCGGCGTGCTCGGGTACGGCCTTGGTGCCGGTCAGTTCGGAGAGGATCTGACAGTAGGCGCGCTGCGGCTCCGTCAGACGCATACCGTTCACCTCGATAAACTGGTGGTGAGAGAAGTGGGGGAGGGGGAGGGAGGGAGGGAGTGGTCAGTTGTCGGATTGACGAACATTGCTGCAACAGGGAGTTAATTGTTAGTGACGTTGCTTGTAACTTGAGTAAGGACGAAATAGGTAGCATACGTTACCTAAGTGTATTTAGAAGAATGCGCAGGGTTCACGGATGAAAAAAAAACCTACAAAAGACACGTCGTGCGACAAATGACAACCCGGAGTAATATGGTAAAATCAGTGAAAAACAACAACCGCTGTTTTAACTTGCATTCCTAGCCAAACATTTACGACATGGTTTAGAAGCGGTTCGTTCCCCAGTGCCCCGGGTCGCACTGCAGCGCCGCGTTGTCTACCTGGAAGGCGGGCAGGTCACCGGTCTGGACGCCTTCCTGTAAACTGCGCACCACCTCCCTCATGGTAGCCGTCTTCCCCGTGCCCGGAACGCCGCTCACGTACATGCACCTGGCAAGAAATGACGTAGTGTACAGGTGCAATGACGTATGAAATAATGTATAAGCCAGTTACCAACCGATCAATATAAAAGAAATTGATGACTATACAAAAATGTTCCTTGCTAATTACCACCATACTTTCAAGTTCACACAAGTCAGGACAACAGAGCACCACTGTAAAGTAGTACCGCATATCATCCTTTCGATTAGATCAATAAATTCGATCATTGATATAGCTATCACTAACCCACTCGCTCAACTATTGCCTCGCCCACGACGTCCTTCCCATCGTCAGCTAAACTGAACTCACCCGCCAGTACCATCCAGTAGTCGCGCCTCCACGAAGGTGTAGATGTCGAGGAACTCATTCTCACGGCAGGGCAGCGCCTCGGGTACCGCAGCCACGTGCAGTCGACTGCGGGCCCGCTCTAGCGGTGTACCGGGCGTGTCCAGACAGCCGGCTGACCGGCCGGGCACCAGGGGTGTGCCGCCAACCTGGCAGGGGAATGACTAGGTAGTTATGATGCTGGGTGGGCCACAAATCACAATTACTTGGCGGTCAGTGCAGTAACAAAAAGAATGAAGAGCGAGGATTGATAAGTAAGCGGATGTAAAAATGTAACCATATTGGTATCTTGGGTCTCGGAAATATTCAAGTTAAATCACGATGATAAGCAATAACATAGGGATATCTGATGCTACATCACACACATTTTTGTATCCCAAAAACGTATGTATATTTCCCTGAATTCCGAGATAAGCACAGGAGGAAGGCAGGAAGTCCGATGGCACTGACAGCTCACCTTCGGGGTCCTGGGAGAGGCCGTGACCGATCGACCGCCGCGCCCCCTGCCCCGGCCGCGGGACGGAGTCGCCGGGGACGCGGCCGCACGGCCCGTTCGCCGTTTGACGGGCGTCCACTCTTCCTCCTGGGAACTCTCCTCCGGGAGTTCCTCGGTGCGCCGGGCGCTGGCAGCACGACTGCGTCCTCCGCCGCGGCGCGGAGCGACCTCCTCTTCCTCCTCGTTCTCTGAGTCAACGGCCAATGACAGACGGCGTCTCTTGGCGCCGCCGGCGTCCGCGGCGAACAGGCGCCGCGCCGGCGGCGGGTCACTGGGGCGGGCGCTGGCGGCGCCGGGGGATCGCTCCTCGGTCACCGTGGCCAGACTCGGTTGGAGGCAGAGCGAGCGACGCGCCGATCGCGGCGTGCTGCGGCCGGCCGATGGAGACGCGGAGCCCCGTCCCGCCGAGCGAGGTGTGCCCCTGCCCGCCGACCGCGCGCCGCCAGAGGACGGAGTGCTGGCACGGGACGCGTCCCGCTTCACGGGCGTGGCACCCCGGGAACGGGACGGTTCAGGCTTGGACGGAGTGCTGGTACGGGACGCGTCCCGCTTCACAGGCGTGGCACCCCGGGAGCGGGATGGTTCAGGTCTGGCTCGTGCAGGGCTGTCTGTCTTAGACTGGGACGCTGTCCGCTTCAAGCCGCGCGCTGGGGTGGTTTCTCTGGACGCACGTGGCGTTTTCTTTTTGACGGGGACAGGCGTGCTTCGACCGCTATCCGGGAGAGACGAATCACTCTGTGGATCACAGTCATAGTGGAAATTAACGTTTTATCTCACACCAGCACATAACCAACTGCACCAGACTGATTAGTGAGTACCTACCAGAAGTAATATCAGGTCAAAAAACTGTCCAGCCACCACATCAACGACGTGTCAGCTTATAAACTTTCTTCTCCAATTCATTTTTTAAATCATATCTTCATACTTACATCATCATCTTCCAGCAGCATCTGTCGAATTTTGCTGTCGGTGAGTCGACTCATTTTCATGACCATTTTAGGTGACGTGTAGCTTATGGTAATGGCATCTTCATCCTCCCAGCTCGTCTGAAAAAAACAAAAGCCAGTCACACCTGTGCTGGAGACAGCTCAAAGATAAGCATCTTTTGTTGCACAGTAGAAGTGCCTACTTAATGTGCTGAAGATTTGCATGAAGTGTGTAGAAACATAAACAGGATACGAGAGATTATACAAAAGTGGATCGTAAGGTAAGAAAAAGAGCCCTTACCGTTGCGGCCTGTGAGGACGCTCGAGAGGACCTGGTGTAATAGGACACTCCGGGAGGACAGGACGCCCGACTGAGGCGAACGGAAGGCGAGAACGAGGGCAGGACAGAGCCCACGCCAGCAGTGATACCGGGGGCCTGAAACGTTCACCGGGGACTGGTCTGATCCAACAATAAACCCTCATACAGCCTGAGAAAACTAGCGCATCAAACAAATAAACTAAACGAAGGACGCTTACCCAGACATCTTTAATCGTAGAACTAATTAGTAGTACCTCATCATAACCCTTCATAGGCACTATAAAGACCACGCTAAGCGATCCTAAGCTCTTGCATAGCTACAATGCCTATCTCCATTGCCACTGTTGTCTTATCTAGCCTCGGCTTTGTTAGCCCCGCACACCAGCCTCACCCTGACCGGTACGGAGCCCACCACGGTCACCCACCTTGCCCTCCACGAGGTCACGGTAGCTGCGCTCCTTACGACGCCGGCCCGAACGGGACAGGCCCTCTTTGGAAGGCGGCTGCTGCGACGGCGTGGTTGGCGCATCTGTCAGCAAACAGCGGAATTACTACAAATGCTTACACATGCTAACAGCCACCAAAAATGCTAGCATCTGCTGAGTGTCAAAGAGTAATGAGCCCTTAGACTATATACCTAGTCTCCATGTGGGATGCATTCGGCAATCCACCAAAGCAATTCGCAGTTTGTCCCAGCATACCACAAATAAGTTAGAAAACGGTTTTTTTGTTTTGTTTACAACCCAACCCACACGATCCCCACTCGACAAAGCTGACGTTTATACCAAAGCCCCTGCTCTCAAACGCAATTAACCCTGACTCACTATTCTCCTTTCCCGTCGATCGTGTCCTTCGTTCAGCAGTGGGCGTTTCACCGGGAGCCTCGCTGCCAGCTCTCTTCTGTTTCCCTGGAGTTTCACTGCCCGCTCTTTTCTGTTTCGCCGGGGTCTCGCCGCCCGTCCTCTTCTGTTTCCCGGGAGTTTTACTAACTTCTCTTATTTGTCTCCCGGGGGTCTCACTTCTGTCCCTCCTCCGTTTTCCTGGGGTTTCACTGCCCGCCCTCTTCTGTCTTCCAGGAGTTTCACTTCCCTCCCTCTTCCGCCTTCTGGGGGTTTCACTTGTCTCTCTCCTGCATCTACCAGGAGTTTCACTTCTTTCCCTCCTCCGTCTTTCCGGGGTTTTACTGCCCGCTCTCTTCTGTCTTCCCGGAGTTTCACTTCCTTCCCTCTTTCGCCTCCCGCGGGGTTCATCGCCTGCTTTCTCCCGTCTTTCGGGTGCCTCACTACCTTGCCTCGACCTCCCACCAGTCTTCTGAGGTGTTTTTGTTCTCTTTCTTTCCCCCTCATCCTCGAAACCCAGGTCCAGACCGGAGATAGATACCAGCTTCAGCGGCTTAGTCTGCAGCTGGAACCGGGTGACGAACAGCTCTAGGGCGCCGCGGGTGCTCCGCTCGACCGCCGAGTCCTCGTATGGCTGCAGCACGCGCACCTGATGGGGACAGGGAAGATCAGTAGAGCAGGTGACCGGCTCGGCCCAGAGTAAATCATGTGAAGACGCTGGTCAATGGTCATGTATGTCATTGTTCTTTGTGATGCACCAACTATGGGAAACACGCCCGGCTTTTTTAACGATGCAAACGCTAAAAATGAATAGCGATGGTAAGGCATATCACTAACAAGCCAGATGTAGTGTGAGGATCCTGTTAGCGAAGTCACCGACCGACAACCATCTTACCAATACCCAACATCAACAATCATTCTCGCCTCACACTCGGTCGCCTTTGCAGAACAGCTGACAGCTTCACACTCACCTCACATTTGTCCCAGACAGTGCTGATGAGCACCTCTGGGCTGAACGGCCGCCCGTCCAGTACCACCTCCCGGGTCGGGTGCGGCTGTGGCAGGCCGACCGGCAGCTTCTTGCGCACCGTCGGCGGCAGAAGGTCCCAGCGCGTGAACCACCGCACAGTCAGCCAGCACGGGTCCTTCTCGTCCGGGTCGCCTGCGAGCGGTGATGTGGGGGTGAGAGGCAGAGGTGGCGGCTTCAGTGATCCATAACAGCGGTGACTGATGGTTGAAGAGTGAGTGGATCTGAAGTGGCGTGAAACCACAAACAGTCATAGATTTATTGTTTTTTACATGCATTGTCATGGAACAGGTATGTGATTATATTTAAGGTACATACCTAAAATATTGGGAATACTTAATATCAGTTTGAAGTCTCTAGACAACCCAGAATTTCCCAATGGGACGGTAGAGCAGAGGACCTGTGCAATAAACTCCAAGGACTCCGATTTAACTTTTCAGTTCATTCAAAATGTGCAAAACAGGTTTCTAGGTAGAAACTTCTCACCTGTGTCATACATATGAGTGATTTCAGCTATTTCACAGCCATCCACATGGTCTTCATCTCCAGCTGATAAGTCAGCTATCAAGACAAAGTCGCCAACTGCCAGGCGCAGATTCCCAAATTTACAGGATCTGAAAAAGGACCATGGGCAGCATGGGCATAAACAACCCAGACTCTAGCAATTTAAAAAAACAAAAATGGGTGGGGCTCTGACCAGCAACCAGCATTACCTCCACATTTCCAGTAAAAGTTGTAAATAGTATTTTCACTTTTTAAAGAAAGAAGAGCAGAAAAGTGGATGTTTACCTTCTTAAAGGTCTGTACTAATAAGTAAAATCTAGTTGCTTTTAATGATAAAGAGTATCACATGATAAGGACAAGAAGCTTAACTGAATGAAACATTACCTGTAATATGTTTTGGAAATTCTTGTAACTTTGGTGGGAGGAGATGGATCTTCCTCCAGCCAAGTAATTTTCTTGCCATTCTGGATATATGTCATCTGTGAAAATCAGGTAAAGCATATCATTAAAGAATAACAAATTTCTTCGCCATTCCAATACTCCCAGGCAGATGCTTACATGATCCAAACCTACATAGGTCAGGTGTAAAAATCTTTAAGCATGCATTGGAAGATCCAGAAAAGGGGGGCATTCAGAACCTAATTAAATATGCTTACTGTCAAATATTCATGAAAGTTCCAACTTCTCTTAGGTACCTCAACAGAAAAAAACATCCATTTTATTCTAATAACTTTGCAATTAAATGAAATATACCTCTTTCCCTATATAAGGGGAAAAGTTATTATTTGCATGGAGAAGTAGATTCTAACTATAGAAAATGCGTGTTTTGATAGGCAAAAGTCATAAAGATCACCTTATTTAGTTTTTGCAGCAGTTTAATGGCTTTTTAAGCTCCAAATGATTGGAAAAGAACATCATTAATATTTATAAAAAAATATAGGAAAACTATAGTTCATCTATCGTAGAAGCTTAACCCTCGCCGGCACAGGGGGGGGGGGGGGTTGATGCAACCCCCCCTAAGGTTTTTCGCGAATAACTCGCGTAAAAAGCGGCCGATCGCGACGAAACTTTCAGTACCCTCGCATTGATCAATTTTACACCTACCCTGAAAATTTCATGACCCTGACCCCAATGACCTTTGACCTGTGTCCTCTTTTCTGTGACCATGTTTGGCCGAAATCGCGGTTTGGCGCATGTCGGCTCGCATTAGCCGCGCGCTTGCAAGTTTTTCGTGGTTTCAAACGTTCAAACATGTGATTTGATGTTGCTCCCATGCATTAGGGTGGGTGTCAAGGTCACCTGAAGGTCAGGTCAGGTCATTGACCTTTGGTGACCTCGGTTCACTTTTTCGAGTTTTACATGTTTCTAGGCTAGTTTTTGGAGCTGAATTCGAATTTAGCAACCATTTGAACATTTACGAAGTAGTTTTGGTGCCTTCGTAATATGTTACGAAGCTGTCCGAGGCGGTTGACATGTATTACGAATACCCGTCACAACCCCTACCGGTTGGTTGACCTGACCTGACCTGACCCGACCTGGTCTAAATGCTTAAAGACATCATCTCTGATCAAAACTAACACGATATTCGTGATCAGCACCCCGGAAAACCACATAGCAGCCACACTTTACGACTTTCTAACAGGTCCCGAGTTTCCCGGTTTTCGGGTCATTGACCTGACCTGGAAGGTCACCAGATGACCTAGGACCTTAAAATTGGGTATCATCGGCTTCCTCTTGTGACGGGCAACACGCTCGTTTTTTCCGCAAAGCTCTAGCTCGATCAGGGGCCAAACGCGAGGGGGGGTCGTACCAACCCCCCCTTGTGCCGTCGAAGGACTCAAAATGGCCTGTGCCGGCAAGGGTTAACAGCGCAGAAGCTTATTACGCGTTTTAGCCATACTGCCTAATTCAAAAGCAACTACATGCTGATTGTCTTAGCTTAGCCTCTGCGACAGGTGGCTGCTTTCATGGCATTCTTCTACAAGTCACCACATTCCTCTACAACAACAAGGCACCACATTCCCCTACAAGGCACTCTTTTCAGAACAAAAAATGAAACATCTTTGTCTAGGGCAGTTGTTGGGGCGTAAAAGCTCCTTGATATGTGCTTGTCTCAGCGCAAGCTACAGAAAAGCTTTTCCAGTTCAAAACTCCATGCTAAAAGTGGCATATTTCCTATAACTGCACAGTGGCGCACAGTCCGAGTCACACTGGTCAATGTGACTGATAAGCCACCAGAATCAGCATACCATTACCAACCGGAGCTTTATTTTAAAACATGATTTTAAACAAACAGAAGTTGATTTCAATTTGAAAAAAGCACTGAGTGAAAAGAGGCACATCTTTGACACTATATCAATATGGAGTATGGACTTAATGGACAAAAACGATCAAAGGATTTATGTTAACAAGTAAGGAAAATAGACGTCGTATAACTGACCTTTTTAGAAGATTCTTTCATCATTCAAATCCGATAATTTCAAGTTCGTATTATCTAAATAGTTTTCAGATTTTCCAGCGAACCCACACTTGGCGCCTCCGTGCTGGTGCCTCCGTGCACGCGCCGCCGTCAACTTCGCGCGTTTCTGAATCGTAACTCCTGCGCAGTGAATGTCTCTGCCATTTTAGTTCCATATGAAGGAAAATGAAAAGATTTTCTTATGAGCGTAAAGAAAATCCGCGGAATCTCCGAATTTCAAGCTTCTGTAATGTCAAAAGTAATCTTGATGCCACCCATTACCCAATGTATAAAATGGTACATTTTTGAATCGGAACCCCCCTCCACAATCCTGAAAATATGGCAGAGCCCCTTGTAGGCAGGGGCCCCCTGCCTACACTACACTGCAATAAGTAATAACCTATAACAACAAAATCTATTTGAGGCATTAGCGTCGCCACGGGGGGGCAAGCGGGGCAGCTTGCCCCCCCAACCTCGGATCGGGCACCCCCTGAGATCGATACAGATCCGATGAGATTTTGGAGTCGGGAAAAAATGGGGGTACCTTTCTGAGAATGTCTGTGAGGTCAGACTCGGTTGGAGCGTGCAGTTTAAACCAGAGTCTGACTCGCAGTCGCCAAAATCTTCAAGACTCCGAGTCCAGACATAGGCGGCGGAACGGGGAGGGCACTGGGGCACCGTGCCCCCCTTTGATTTTGACATTTTAACATTAGCCCTATGAGCGTTGCATGGAAAGAATGGGACCAAAAGTCGGCAGTGCCCCCCTTTAATTGAAGGTGTTCCGCCGCTACTGAGTCCAGACTCGGAAATGTCAATGCTGTGATTCATTCTATGTTCCTAGTTCGTTCTTTATTACATTTTACAGCTGATTTTCATAAGTTTTGGAGTGCTGACACCATAGGCGTCGCCAGACATTTTCGGTTGGGGGGGGCAAAATCAAGTTTTGTGTTAAATCTTGCCTTTCCCCAGCCGTTACTCACTCGTTTTACATATCATTCGACGAGCAATGGTGCGAGGAATCCGATGGTGACAAAGTTTTCCTTCTAGCTATGGCATGATTTTTTTTTGCAAAAAAAAAACAAACAAAATTTTGAAAATTTATGGACAAAAACGACCGGTAGAATTACAGTGGATGCGATTGCCGATGCACTGCAGTGGGTCCCTGTCTAAAACCAGGGTGATCTGATCACCGTGCTAAAACCTCCATTCACGCATGCATGCCGAGGTTTTACGAGAAATGCATCGGGCTTATCCCAGCCGCCGATTGTAGCTAAGAATTGGGCATTCGGCGGAGACTGAGAGTGAATGTCGGAAGTGTGAATCGGAAGTACATAATTGATAATTCATCTTTGCTGCAGTGAGAAGTGTTTTGTTCACTCGAGTGTGAACAAAGTTTCTCGTTTTTCGTGTGAAGGGAAGCGCTGCAAACGCGAACAAAAACTGTTAAACGGGACCAAAAGTTACGCGCGGCATAGCGGCAAGGGATCCCTTTATAGAGATAGGCTTGCGACTTCCAGGCCATTTCAGGCCACTCAGGGTCAGTGTGGACTCTCAGAAGCCTGCTTAGGATCCCGGAGATCGGCGTGGGTCACCCCAAGTATTTACGTGTATGTGGTGCTTTAGGGCTTTCCGAGCCCAAGGTGGGCTCGGAAAGCCCTTTAGGGCACACGAGTCTTCAGAAACCTGTGAAGGCGGCGGGCGCTAAGAGACTAGGCCCAGGGTGAGTCTGGAGCCCTCGAATAACAGTGTGAAACGTCGGGGTCTGTGTCGAATCCTTAAGGACCCTACGTAGGTAGGGACATAAGAAACATGTGTTGCGGCCCTCAGAGGGACACGTGAGTTGTGACCTCAGATGCCGCCGCCGGCTTGGGGTTAATAAAGTCTGCCGCCTCAAAAGTTCGGCTGAACTATCTGAGGTCAGTTGAGGTTTTCAGAAATTTTCGAAGGCATCCTCAAAGATTCGTGTGGCCTTTCAGAGGTCTACGTATGTATAAGGTCCTCAAAGATCCCTGTATGGGCCCTCAGGACACCAGTGGGACTCTCAGAGGCCGGTTTGGGCCCTCCGAAAGCTTCCTAGAGTTCAGTGGAGCTCCTTAGGAGCCTGTGTGAAAAGCAAGCTCATGAACCCTGCGGCACTTGAACGGTACTTGAGCCTGTCGTAGACATTTGACGAGAGTTGAGAAAGGCCCCGAAGATTTCGTGTCACGCTTTGAACGAAGATTATGTGTCAGCACTCCAAAACTTATGAAAATCAGCTACAAAATGTAATAAAGAACCAACTAGGAACATGGAATGAATCACAGCATTGACATTTCCGAGTATGGAGTCGCAGTCTTGAAGATTTTGGCGACTGCGACTCTGACTTTGGTTTGAACTGCACGCTCCAACAGTCTGACCTCACAGGCATTCCTTAGAAAGGTACCCCATTTTTTTCCGACTCCAAAATCTCATCGGATCTGTATCGATCTCAGGGAGTGCCCGGTCGGAGGTTGGGGGGGGGGGGGGGCAAGCTGCCCCGCTTGCCCCCCCGTAGCGACGCTAATGGCTGACACAATTTTCGTTCAAAGCGTGAAACGAAATCTTCGGGGCCTTTCTCAACTCTCGTCAAATGTCTGCGAAATGCTCAATTACCGTACAAGTGTCGCAGGGCTCATGAGCTTGCTTTAAACAAAGGCTCCTAAGGAGCTCCACTGAGCCCTAAAGAAGCTTTCAGAGGGCCCAAACGGGCCTCTGAAAGTCCCACTGGTGTCCATGTTCTCTGAGGGCCCATACAGGGATCTTTGAGCCTTCGAACATTTCTGAGAACCTTAACTGGCCTCTGATAGTTCAGCCAAACTCGTTACGGTCCAAGGCGGACATGAGGACAGGTGGCGCCGCCGCCGCCCGCATAGCGGCCGGAATGTGAACTAACCTGTTTACCATAGGGGACTGTGTTAACGGCCGCCGTCGGCACCATTTCGGGCTTCTTTTTGACTTTGCAGCGCAATAAAAGGCTTATTTATAATTGAAAATGGACTAGCGAGAGTCGTTATGGAATCAGAATTTGATGCTCTACAAAACTAGGCTATTTTCATTGCGATGGCATCACAGACTACACCGCCAACCCCAATAAAGCAGAAATATGTCGCTTCATCGGTGATGACATAGCATGTTTCTTTGGTATAGACATTGAAAAGTATAACACTTTTTACTGCATCTACGGTGCGATGCTAGAGAAAATTGTATGGCCTACCTAATGGTACCCATTACTTAACAATTTGGTGTAACATTTCGTCGCCCAACTCTCGTAGATTCGTATGACCGCCTCACTATGGAGTTTGGACCGTAACGTTTTGAGGCGACAGACTTTGCTAACCCCAAGCCGGCATCTGAGGGGTCACAGCTCACGTGTCCCTCTGAGGTCCGCAACACATGTTTATTATGTCCCTACGTAAGGTCCTTAGGGATTCGACACAGACCCCGAGGGTTCACACTGTTATCCGAGGGCTCCAGGCTCACCCTGGGCCTAGTCTCTTAGCGCCCGCCGCCCACACTGGCTTCTGAGGGCCCCACCTTGGGCTTGGAAAGCCCTAAAGCACCACGTACACGTAAATATTTGAGGTGACCCACGCCGATCTCCGGGATCCTAAGCATGCTTCTGAGAGTCAGCACTGACCCTGAGTGGCCTGAAATGGCCTGGAAGTCCCAAACCTATCTCTTCTAAGGGATCCCTTGCCGCTATGCCGTGCGTAACTTTTGGTTCCGTTTAACAGTTTTTGTTCGCGTTTGCAGCGCTTCCCTTCACACGAAAAACGAGAAACTTTTGTTCACACTTGAGTGAACAAAACACTTCCTCTCACTTGAGCAAAGATGAATTACTTCCGATTCACACTTCAGACATTCACTCTCCGCCGAATGCCCAACTTAGCTACGATCGGTGGCTGGGATAAGTCCTATGCATTTCACGTAAAACCTCTGCATGCATGCGTGAATGGAGGTTTTAGCAGGGTGATGCGATTAAATGGAGCGTTTTTCACCTTTTTCTGGGTAATGATCATGCGCGTCGAGCGTCTACACAGCGGCCCTCTGCAGTGCGTCGGCAATCGCAGCCACTATATACTATAATTCTACCAGTCGTTTTTGTCATGAAATTTCAAAATTTCGAATTTTTCTGTAAAAAATTACATGTCATAGCTAGAAGAAAACCTTTGTCACCATCGGATTCCTCGCACCATTGCGCGTCGAATGATATGTAAAACGAGTGAGTAAAGACCGGGGAAAGGCAAGTTTTAACACAAAAGTTGATTTTGCCCCCCCAACCGAAAATCTCTGGTGACGCCTATGATTTGAGGGCAACTGCTCTTGCGGATTATGTATATGCTTTAACTTTTTTCATCACGTGATGAATTTGAGGAACTAAATACGGATAACGAAAGAGAACAATACAATGCATACAGAATTGATCCTGGCCAAATCCATATATCCACGACCGAGATAGGTATGTACTTCACGGCCGCTTCTGAAAAGTGACGACCAGAGATCGTAGAGTCGCACAACCGACACTGATTTGAAACGTTTTATTTTGTACAGCATCTGCTCGGTTATGCAGCACGATATGAAAGACAATCGCTTGCTTCAATTGGACAGTGCAAAATGGCCACGACAGAAGAGCTACAGAAAGCCTTTACAAAATAATGCGCGAGCAAGAAAGAAAAATGCATTAACATTTCAGGAAAGCCCTCGCATATGTAGAAAGCGTTACAGCTATATTACTACACAACGACCTAGCAAAGTTCCAAAGCTATTCTAAAAGGGCTGTTGCAGATCAGGTCTCGTCGTAAAAGTAAAACCATCGCTAGCACAGGCCTCAAACGAACCAAATCTGAGCGAAAAATGGAACACTGTAGAATGCCACGGAACGCAGCCAGCATGGGCAAAAATATACACGTCGACAGTCTTTTCGCGACACACGAGATGAGCACAATCCGACGGTAAGCGCGACAATGGTGGGGTGGCGTGTGCCGGCGGGCCGCGGCGCGCGCTCGGAGCCCCGCACGGCGGCAGTTCGGCCCCAGGCGCGGCGGTAAGGGCCGGCGCGCCACGGAACTCCGTTTGTACTCCTCTCGCTCGGCGATCTCACATGCTCGCGGCCCTCGGTTCCCCGTCCGTCAAACGCCCCGCTCCCGCTGCTCAGATGATACACTGTACACGCACACATATTCACACAGCACACCCTCCGTGCGCCGGGCCAGTCCCCGGCGCCGTTTGACGCCCCCAGGACCCTCGCTCACAGCGCCATCCCGCGGCGCACGTCCGCCCCTCACTCCGTGCCTTGGTCACTCCTTCACTCGGTACCCGAACTCCGTTACAAAAATCCACACTCCCTCCCAGTCAGCGACACCTCAGCCACAAAAAATGATATCAAACACGGTGGCAGCGCGGCACACGAGTCCATCGTGTCCCCTTCAGCGAGTTACTGGACCTCTGGACGGTCCCTCGTCCCATCCACAGGCGCTCGGCCTCACGAGCGGCGCAGTCCCGCCTGCATCATGGCTCGCTGGTAGGCCTCCAGGCTGGCAGCCTGTTCGGGAGACAGGCCGTGCAGGCCGCCGGGCATCAGCACAAGTCTCTGCGCCATTAGACTCTGCAGCGTCAGCTGCTGCTGCAGCCGCTGCAGCCGCTCCTTGCCGCCGGCCTGCATCAGCCCCATGTACTGCAGCATGGGCGGCGGCAGCGCGGCCGAGGCCATGTGCAGGGCCAGCAGGTGCTCGACCGAGCCGCCGGCGCCCGCGGCGGCGGCCGGCGCCGGCGCGGCGCCCACCTTCTGTACCGGTGTGATGGTGATGGAGCCGATCCGGGACGGCTCAGAGAGCGGCGGCTGCGGCGCCGGCGGCCGCACGCCGCCCGTCGTCAGGTCGATCACCTCCACGGGCCCGGCGGTGGACGCCGGCGGCCGGCCGGCCGGCGGGCGGCGCGGCGCGCCCTGGTGCGCCGGCGGCGGCGGCTCCAGGCGCGGCCGCTTGGCCTCCGTCTGTCGGGCCATCGAGCTGAGCCGCTGCAGGGCCGTGTAGCCGGCCAGCGCGGCCGGGTCGGCCGCCGGCCGCGGCAGTACGGGTGTGATGGTGATGGCCGGCCGCGCCTGGGCCAGCAGCGCCACCTCCGCCGCGTCCGGAGAGGCCCGCTTGTGGCCGCGCCCGACGGCGGCCGCCACCGAGGAGAGCACCGCAGCGGCGGCGGACGAGGCGGCCGGCGCCGCGCGCGACTGGCCCACTGACGACGTTGGTGTCGTCTTGTGGTGGCTGGTGAGCGGCGGCGGCGGCGCCGTGGCCGACTCGGGCAGACCCCGCTCGTGCCGCTCATACGGCAGGCACAGCCTGCAATAAAGGGGAGGAGTCAATTGTTTTGCCATGGATTATCAGTGGGCAGCTCTAAGCTTGCACAATGAACTCGGACGTTGCTCATCTACACAGGTCACGCAGTGCGTCCCCGTCCCGTATCGTCTTCGTGAACGCTTTAGGTCAGATACCTTTCTTCTATAAACAAATTCATTTCCGTGCTTATAATAATACTATATTTAACGAATCACTGCAGCCGACATTGTCTCTTACTTTTCGTAGCAGCGTCGCAGGGAGGCTCCGGCCGTGGTCTTTCCGGCATCGAGGCCGAGCTCGGAGAATAGGTGGCGCCACTGTCGGCGTCCGCAGACGGCATGGTAGCCACCCATCTCCTGCACCCGCCGGTACAGCCGGAAAATGTTCTCTGCGGACACATCGAGACACAATAGTCGGCTGGGAGCAGATCAATGATGCGATGTGTTACGGGGTGCGGCATGCAAATCACGTGGAGTGGGTAAAGGTTGAGACAAACAACAAATGAAACAAACGCCTCCAGCGATTACCAGAAAAAGCAGCCTCTGTTATCAGGCGACATGTCTAACCAAACATGGCCATTTTCACAGCAACATACATAATCGGTCACATGGTTTTGCTATCCGCTATCAGCGGCAGCCAGCTTTGTCCACGTCATCTACTCGCACTGCCCTGCATGCTGCAACAGCGGACGTCACGTTAGGTGGGAGTGAATGCGGACATTATCATTAACATGTGGGACCGACACCCCAGCTCGGGCACACGCCACGTCAGCTGCAGGGGCAAATCAATAGAACGCCCGGTCCCTGGCCAGTTGACAGCAATGAAATGTGAACATGATCGTGAACGATGTCAAATGAACTATGATTCAGCCATCAATTTTACGTTTTTCTGGGACTTTGCATAGTGGATTATGGATTGCTGATGATAGTTTTCAGATCTTAACTTGATCACTTCAACAGAAATGAAGTATGAGCAAAAAATTAACTAAACTAGATAAAACCAACAATGTGTGGACATAGAGGTTCTCGCTTATGGCGGTAGGAACAAAAATTATGAAATTTATTTGCATCGAACTGAATTGTATTGAAGGCATTGATTTGTATTGAATGGTACGAACAAGGTGCACGATTAACTAATATCTGAAAACAATTTTACCTAACTACACCCCACATCACCTTAGACTACACTATTTTGGCAAATGAAATAAACTAAATCAGCGTACAGTTGAACACGCTAGAGCCCCGGGTAATTTCCCTAATGCCCCATCAGATGCGAGTCAGCTCAGTGGCTCCTATTTTCAGTGGGACGGGTTCACGGAGGTCATTATTCTCACAGTCGAGAGGCTCGGTGGCGAACAAATACCATTGAGGTCGGCGATATGGTTTGGCCAAGTGGCGCGCCGGCCGTGTGGTGTCGACTGGCTTCTCAGGATCAATACGGCGCTCTTCAAGGGGACTCACAGAGACATAGGTCGACAGAGAACCGTCCATCCAATCAGACAAGACAGCCGGGAAGGGGGGGGGGGGGTATCACTCGGCTAAACCCAACGGGTCTCTTAGAGTGAAAAGGACAGACGTTTCATAGCTGCCTAGTGCCTACTGGCTAATGTGTTCGGTAACTACGTTAGGAAATACTGGTATGAGGCGATGGTAGCTGATATGCTGGTTACTAAATACGAGGAATATGACAGCCTCTAACTTCTACGGTATGTACTATGGACAGTGTGCACTGTGCATCAAATATTATACAAGGAAGTAGTTAACGTTTGATACAACATTTAATAAGGCTGCATTGTTTTGGCACACTGGTTACGTAAACACCAGCTCGGTGAAGCTAAGGAGCTACGACAGTAATACACTGTGTCATTTTTGCACATTTTGTGATGGTTACAGGCGCCAGCACGGGCATAAACACATCACCGCGTACAGACGGCGCCGGTCAGACCCAGCCCCATTACTGGCTGGTCGTGCCTTACAAACGCCCGTAGCAGAGTTTCAGAGATCTCCGTTGTGAGATGAGCCCTCCGAGGTCCGCAGTCTATTTATTACCTATCGATCGCACAGGACAGACCGAATAAACCACTCAATGAATTAGCTGCGGATGCTTTGGTCACCACTCGCAACCAAACAGCGTCCAGTAAAGTCTGCGGTAATTCCTGTGGGTAACTGCACAACCTCCACTCCGACCACAGAGCGGTTGAGAACTTTCAGACTCGGTTGCTGGGCGACTCAGATGCCGTTCGCATGAAATACCGACAATCACTTCTAAGAAACCAAAATAAGAACGACAATCAGCTCTCCCTAGGAATCACTATGATAACCTGTAGGACACCCGCTTGTGACATGACAATCTGACATCCTACAACTGTCATCACAAATCACCTGTCATTCCTCGACTGCACCATGACATCAACTGGCATGACATTTGCCCGGACACCGAATCCCCTCGAGCCCCAGACTCCGGGGTAGCGGCACCCACCTTCTTTGAACTCCAGCGCTGCGGGAACCGTGAGTGGCGTGCCGCGCTGCGTCATGAACGTCTGCATCCTCTGTAGCAGGGTGCGCTGGTCCCAGCGGGCGGAGCGCAGCAGGTGGAACGGCCGGCTGGCGGCGGCCGGCGTGAGGCCCGGTACAGCAGGCTTGTGCAGCAGACCGCCCGTACCGCGCCGGGCCTGTCGAACAGAGGGAGAGAGGTTAGCGCCCGTCAGGAATAGGGCGTGATAATATCAGATACAAACACAGAGTGATAGACTAGGATACGTGCCCGATAGGCCAAAAGTATGACAAACACACATATGCCATGCGACAGACAGGCCTTTATACAGATGGAATCAGGTGGGTCAGGCACACATCGGAATGCCTACATAGCATTGGAACAGGAAAAATGGAGGGGTCCTGAGGGTTACGACGTAGAGTGACAATACACCACACGAAGACCGACACACACCGTTGAATAGTACACCTGACACTCTTCTTACATGCACAACAGCGATTATACATGTGAATATCACACACAAATCACGACGAGCGGGTTGTCAGTTAATGTGCCTATGTTAAATATTGTTGACAGAAAACAAACTTGAGAAGTCTTATATCCTGAAAGGTCTTTGACGAGGCCCAAACTTGTAAGCCGCCGTCAGGGCCACTTTCCGCTGGCGATACTTTGGCGGAGCGCCACAGATTACAATCGATGGACTAGATAATACCCAAAGGGATGATGCAATGCCAACTGAGACTAATGCTTATATGCACCACTTGGCCAGAAGCCCGCTGTTAATCAAATAATATATAAGACTTCTTTGACTAAGCAATGCATCAGTCGCAACGTTTCTCTATTTCATTATTTATTAACAGCGCGGGTTTAGTTTATGAACAACTTTAAGCGCGAGTGAATAAATATTGTAATATTATGGCAAATGAAGGCCGCTGCAGTAAGGCTAACCATATGCAAAAGTAAGATTCTTTGTCTATACTTATGAAGGTCTGGAAACAAAGAAAAGAAAAGAAAATGAAGAAGAAGGAGATAAAAATATTATCGTCGTTTTAGAATCCATGATTTAGAATAATACACCAGATGATCAGTCCAAAAAAAAAGCCACTCAGCCAAGTGACTTACATACTTATCTCATCTATTCCACCCAATGACGCCTCCCCTGTCCCCAGACAGGGTCCAGGAACCGACATCGAGCCCTCCTCCATACGATGAGCTCGGGCGCGGCCCGTCTGACAGAGCTCTAATGGTGTTCTGCTCCACGATCAATAGCCGAGGTAAGCACGCCACTCTGCCCCGCTAGCACTCTTTGAGAGTCAGCCGCCGACGATTGCCTTTCAGAGCTAAAACTACGCCATGTTTGGGAAAGTCGCAAACGGATAGAGCTCGTTCAGGGGCTAAGGAGACATATAGGAGCATGATTATTGTTGGACAACAGTGTTGGTCCAATATTGTTATTGAGAGAAAGGACCAGCAAGGGCAAGTCATGGTATAATGACAAGCATAATACTGTAATACCGAATCATATGATCATCGCCAGATTATAATTAATCAGGTCGTTACCTACATCGCATTATTATCTGACCGACCATGAATAAATCATGTTTCAGCTCATTACGCTCCTTAGCTTCCATCTATCTGGAACAAGCCGCAGTTTTAGATCTCGGCCATGCACAATTGTGCAAGGCTGTGCCTCGTGTGAGCTTCAGTCCTTCAAACCACCATTACACTTCTAGATAACCTCGCAATGTCTTCCGGCCCACCCTACTGAAGGGTTGCAGAACATTGCCGTCGCCTTGGGTACAGAAACCGGCCGACCGCTCAAGGTCATCGGGTTGTGGTCCGGTCAGTACCCCTGCTACATTGATCTGAGCACCCGATGCCGTATTTCACTAGCGCAACGAGCATTCTGACCTCATTGTGCGCCCCTCACTACTCCAAATTCTGGAACCCACTGTCTCGATATGTGAGCTCCAATACACCCTCATGGAACGTACTGTGCCAGAGCACCCGGTCCCATAACCTCGTCCGTCCCGTTGTCCATCTTTGCACCCCACCCTGCCCTCGACCGGTGCACTCCGTACCGTCCTCTGACCGCCCCGTCGACAGCAGGGGTCACTGAATACAGGACCGTCGACACCGATAACGGCGAGTTTCATGAGCCCCTAAAACCCGACGGATCATAAACCGGCCAACAGTAACGGCGACCGCAGAGAGATACTGGCGGCGAGTGTCTCAACGGAGATAGCAGAACAAACGCTACTTCAACTGCAACTATTCGTTATAGGCTGAAAAGAAAAGTCAACGACAGAGAGGCATAACGATTCGGGGCAAAGGAACACTGTGATAAGGCTTCTCGTTAGTTGTTATGTTCAACGCACATGTACGGTCACAGGCATGATGCCAGCAGCTCTCTGCAATACCGCCTACAGGCCAAAGATGTTGCTCCACCTAGATGGCCTACCTCTTCCTGAAATCCCTATACGGATTATGCGTGCAGTACACTGACAGAGAACTTAATCTTCTGCGCCGATCGGCCGGACATCTGTCTGCCTCGGCACTATGCAAATATCCTTCCGATGTCGACATGACTGTGGACGCGTCTTGACCATATAAGTCCGTATATCTGACTGAGCGCTGCCCACGGGAGTGGGCTGGTTAGAGAATTCGTTCCTGAACTACGACCATCGCAGACCATTGTAACAGCTCGATGATAAAATAGGGAGCAGACAATGTCGTGCACAGACAGGGGTGAAATTGAGACGATCGTGCATGGATCCGAGCGACGATTAATCGGGCGTACTGGTCAGGAAAGACAGGGTAACATGACGAAAGCGCTCGGAGGAAACAGACGATACCGTTCTGGACTGCTGGGGTGGAAGATACGACTGGAAAACCCAATAAGCTCAGAGCGGAAACGGGCTGGCACTTGGCCAGACTCCAACTGCGCCTCACATTGGAGAACTATTCTCTCACCCACCCATTCTTTTCCTCCACGTCTTATATAAAGCATTATTCATTATATAACACATTATAACATTAAAATCCGACGCTTCATGTTTGATAACTAAACTTATAGATACGATTACCAAAAACGTAGGTAACCTTTTGTGTCCATTACCGTCCGTAGACATGCCAGCAAGTCAGGTACTCAACACGCACCCCTGTATAGACCTCCCTACGCATCTCTCTAGGCCAGTTAGTTTCGCCATTGATGAATGATGAGTACCGAAAACTACATTAAACTCAAGCGCCTTGATGACCGGGAAAAACACTAGCTCACAATATGAAACGGCGCTGCACTGGCCTGGTAACAGCTTCCGTACAGCGGGTCAACCACGGGAGCAGCGCAGTTAATTCCTTCCCCAGCTCGCGGCTCTCCAAATAAACACCGGGCCACCACATGGCGCAGTGATCACGTGGAATCAGTGTGGGGCAACTGTCCAAGTTATAAAACAATAAGGAAAGTGAATAGCTTGTATTTGGTCCTGGGCAAGTGAGCAAAGTTCCGTGGTCATGCTATATATGCCATTTGTTATCTGCATGACGAATATGCAAGGTGAAAAGACATAAACACATTCATTAGTTATGAAATGGGGAGGCCAGTTATTATACTAGGGCTTTCCAGACAATAAAGCACGCTAATATTTCATTATCCATGGACACTTGAACTAAATTTGGACGGTCATTTGTGTACCTATCACGTATTTCAATCTCATTAAGGTTATCGGAGCCGTCTTTAGTTTCTAGTCTCTGCACCGTCAACACCGTGCAATGTAATGCATCCACTATCCGTTTTTTACTGCGCGATGCCGTTTGTCGAATTCCCAGCAGCAATGGGATGCAACGAGCACCCTTCGACGGCCATGTTCTCTACCATTCAGTGGCGAGGAGCCAGGGCTGAACGTTTATTGGCCGGCCTCTGATGACGTGGATCTGGATGTGACGTGAATGTGGATGACGCAGCACGACACATTGTTTGAAGCTGGTTCGTTGTAAGAATGATAAGGCCAACCCTGAGGCATGACAGCTGACATTTATTTTCCAAGAAAATGAGAAAATTTGGCTCATGCCTTGTTGATACATCATATGCGACAGATGTTAAGCTATGAACGCTTATTTATGTTATTTATAAATTTCCATATAAATTACACACACAAAATCAGACCTTTCTAACGAAGCAACGATTCAGTAAGGTGTCATCAGCAGGTACTAACCGCATGGCTGTGCCAGCACCACGCCCCTCACCCGAACACCCATCCGGGCACTGAAAATGCGACGCAATAGCAGCCCAGCAGAGGTCAAACACGTAGACGCCCGTTGCAATTCAATAACCATGCCAGAAAGGAGGCGGCGACTTCGCTTTCTGAGCCCAATACGAAGTACGAATATAACGAATGGTGTCACACACGATCCTAAACTGGTATCAATACTGGCTGTATACTAACTCCGGTCTGAATGCACGCTAAACTCTGGCATATTTGCATGCCGGCGCCAATCGGTGTATCATGTGCCCGATGAGTCAGCACTGCCGCTCCGTGGTGCGGGCACTGCACCATTGCCAGCAGTGTTTGAGAGCGACCAACGCGCTGACCGGCCTGACACGGCAGTCCTCGGGACAGCGGGATATTGGTGGAATGAACGGCTCATCGCGAGCAGACAGATCAAAGTCACTCTAGGATGGTCCGAGGCTTCTGATTGAAGTAATGGGACGAACTTTGTGCTGCTCGGATGTCGGATCAATGACGCAGACAAACTAAGATGTGAAATAAGTCACGTACCTATATATCCTGGATTAAAGCAGAGTCGTACAACATTACGGGTTGCATTTTAGAACCAAATTAGCAACAAACAAGTGCAAAGTTCTCTTCATATGAGCTGTTGCGCAAAACAAACTCGTTATTGATCGTGACGTCAGTCCGCGGGCATGCATTCCAACATGCATCTGCCATTGGAAAAGAGAGTGGGAAGTTAATAGTTCTATAAAGTAGATGCCTATATTTTATCAACTTTTAAATAACAACAGCATGAGACACAAGATAATCGAGCAAAATTAATTGCCCATGCCACGAAATAATATTTCACAATCGAGGATATTAGGCATCACAATCACACCAACCACATTGCGTATTCAAAACCCTATTCATTACCCGGGCGACACAAATAACACAATTTTCCATTTAATCTAGCGACGTCCCCCTGGCTGGTATCTGGCGAATCCAATTTTGTCCGTGTTTGAACAGCGGAGTGAGCTCGCGAGGCGAGGTGGCCATTAAGCTGTCGGCGCCTGCTATCCCGGGGATTCTGACGGTGAAAATACACCGCCAGAGAGGCCCGCCTCATCTCCCCATCCACCCCAGCCCCCAGATCTGAGAGTGGGATGGGGTGGTCTCAGAATGCTGTTATGAAGGGAACATAAACAAGAATGGCAATGGGGAAGAGTTGGTAGTCACCAAAAGGCCTATCTCAAAAGGCACTACATCAATACCAGCCTCAAAACTCTTGCGACGAACTTGTACGCGGTGACGTTATTCGATCATTTGCGAGAGATCTGCCAGAAAAGTAGCCGACCGAACTTATTTGATGTCTCCGCTATGAAATTCAATATAGTTTCTGATGTTTTGGTGGACGGTGGTATTGATCGTCGTGAACAGTTTGCAGCTGCTGACAGTAACCCCGAATGCAATCAGCGAACTCAACTGAGTCATATAAGTCACATGTGTTGCACAGCTTCCATTACCCAGTTGCTCAAGACAGCATTACAAATGACATCATTATTCACAAACAAGATTCATTAGAGCTACCACCCTACATCATCTCCCGCATTAAAGCATGAATCGACAAAAAGAAAACGAATTTTGTAAACAAAATAACGTCGTAATTAACTTGCCAGCAATGTTTTCTTTAGCGCTTCGATGGTAGAAATGTGCAAACGACAGCCCTCACCACACAGGCAAAACCAGTGCTGGCTTGAACACTGAAGAGCATAGCGCAATAAAACCGCTTTAAAGAAAATCATTTGTGTGCGTGCCAAATCTATCATATTGCGAACATCATCTCAATAACCTTCTCTTACCTACTTAAGCCGAACTACACAAAACCAGCTGGAAAATAATAGTCACTGCAATACTGCAGTACCATAACTGGGCCGCCACTGACTCCATCGCAGTCATTACTCATTAGAGGGCCTGACGGCGGCGGCCTGGGGACGTACGAGTCCGCCGCTGCGACCGGCCGGTGCCCTGTAGCCCGTCCGTCGGCGGCGCTCCGGACAAGGGAAGGTCAGACGGGACCGCCAGAGATGCCGGAGGGGCATAACTAAAATCTGAGACATTGGATAGCCAGCTTACCACCTGAAGCGAGCTTTCAGAACAAGAGCGAACACCTGAGGCACCAGCAAATAGGATAAGTTCGACAGCTATAGTTATAACATCGTTGGGACACCCAGCTTCAGCTAGCACCAGCTAGGTTGAGAAGTGTATTTAGCAGCTGAGTGCTTGATCCTCGTGTCAAATTCAGCTCATTACTGACGTTATCTATCGAACGACACGGGTACACTTCACACTTCACACTTCGGGTACACGAAACAGGTAGCACTTTAGAAGCAACAGCACGAAAAGCAAAATGATGCCTCTCGCACTCAGTATGTGAGACATGCAACATTGTAGGTACTTCGGAAACATTCTAACCTGGCTTATCACGGTGAGAGTGCCATGAATATTGAAGTGAAGAGCTCACGGTATCTCCAGCATTCTGAGTAGTCTCGCACCGTACTTGATTCAACAGTTAGTGTTACCACGGGCGACCAAAGTTTCCAAGAATATGTTGCACATCCCACACAATTCACGGCTGCAAACTTGCCAGTAACAGACAGATGGCATTTCGTTAAATGTCAGCGTGTTACCTGCTCCCGGGAGAGCGTGCCTGAATGACAATATCGTTTCAACTGCTCCACTGAGAGGCATATGACAGACGAGACCGGGGACCCGGATTCCGATATCAAAGGTTGGTAATAGGATTAGACCAGTGGTCGGCAGGTCATTCGGGGTTATGCCCCCTTTTTAAGCGCCAGGCAGGGCCATTACCCCCACCTACCAGACCCCATTGCTGACACAACCAAGTTTACTGAAATTCCATACCTTTCTGGAACTCTTTGGGTATTTCTGCATTTCCGATGCATCAAATCTAAAACATGACACTTGCACTTCCTCCACAAAGCATTTAATATATCCCATTTAACCCTCGTACATATAGGGGCGGCGGCTGGTTTTTCATTAAAAGCTCACGTAAAAGCCGTTGGGTCACGACCAAATTGTACCCTCGAGCCAATAATTTTTTTCTTTACCTGCCCGCGAAAACCTGAGGCCAATTTTACCAACAGAAAAACAGCCGCCTGCCGGAGTTTTTGCCTAAAAACCGCTGCATATACGATGAGCATGCGCTTCACATACGATGAGTAAGCGCGATGAGCATGTAAGTGGATAGGGCTTTATTGCTTACCGTATTTACGCTTTACCGTATGTGAAGCGGTCTTTAGGCGAAAAATTCCGGCAGGCGGCTATTTTTCTGTCGGTAAAGTGGCCTCTGGACCCATAATGATCATGATTGGCTTATGAGCTTTTTCTGTAGATCATCTTGAGCCATAAAATCTCACTTCAAGAAGTTATAGCGGGTCCCGATTTTCTCGACACTTGTCTTTGACCTCCTGAATGAGACGAAATGACCAAGAACCTTAAAAATGGGCAGCAGCGGCTTCCTATAGTCACGGGTAATACGCTCGTTTTTTATGCACAGCTCCACCTCAGAGTCTAAGAGGCCGCGGGGGTCCGATCGACTCCTCCCCCTTACGTTAGCGGCTGTGGAAACGCCAACAGACGGGCGACGGTTAAAAATTGCAGCTGCTTTTGTACGACTGTACGGAGCCGCTGTGAGATGGTGAGGCGAGCAGCTACGTGAAAATTGGTAGGTATCTAATCAATGTGTGCTGTGCCTTTGACCTGGGCTAATCTTTGAACCCTGGGATGCAACAGTCACGATGGTTCCATCAATGGAGCCACTAACTCTAAAAAGACAAGTTTTCTCAGAATCCCTCATTACCCCCGCCGAAAGGGCTCCATTACCCCCAAAGGGGGCATGCCCCACCATTTGCCGACCCCTGGATTAGACGATCGGTAACTTATAGCAATGTCGCTCAAATAAGGGCGACGTGGGCTCGGTATCGACGGTAATGGGTACTACCTGGGCAACACATCCATATGGGCACCAGGCCGGGAGCGAAAACCTGCCGTCGGGAGTCCGAGTCGTCAGCTAAAGAGGACTGAAGAGTCAGCGGTGCCACCAGGACTGAGTACTCACCACTAGAGATGTCAATCGGATACCAACATTTTGGTATACCGATACCAAACCGATACCAACTTGGTATTTGGTATTTCCATCCTAATATATTTGGTATTTTGTTGGTATGATGAACTCTCACTTATGTATAAGAGGCTGAGAAATTGGTATATTTTGGTATTTGCCTGATGTTCCTAGGTTGGTTCGGTTTTGGTATTTTATCACGATTTTGGTTGGTATTTGGTTTGGTATCGGTATTCCGATTTTCTGTAATTGACATCACTACTCACCACAGCCGGGGTTGATTCCGTCTCGGTCCGGCCCACCTCGGTGTCAGAGGTCGACTCCGAGCTCGGCGACGAAGAGCTGCGCTGGCGGGGCTTCTTTCGCGTCCGGCCGCGAAGTTTTGGAGCTGAGGATGCAGATAAGTAGGGTCAGACGCGTGGTGGTCAAAGGGTTATGGCGTGGTGACAAAGGAAGAGGGAAGATAGCGGTGTTTATGTTGCAGCATTGCCAGATAGGCAGGTAAGTGAACATGAGGCGCACAATTAACGTCACATGTGGTGACATTTGGTTTGACGCTAGCAGTATGATATTGGCTAGCATTTCGAGCACCGGTCCACAAAGCATAAAAATAACCGAAAATGCAACTGTCTTGCCTATCATCCTTTAGCCATCTAACCATAACCAAACATAGGAATAAACGAAACAAGCATCCAACGCTATCAAAAACTGATAAAAACAAACTTCCCTGGCCTCCTTACCGAGCTTTCCCACTCGATCATCCACCATCCACTCACCGAGGTGATTACAGAAGAGCTCGTGGCCGTCCAGGTCTGGCACCTCCACCAGTTGTCGGCAGAAGAGCAGGCGTGTGTTCCGACTGGGTATGTGGAAGCCGCCCAGTGCTTTGATGACGTTGTGCGCGTACACCCGCGAACTGATCGACTCCAACCTGCCGAGGTATCGAGAGGAGGGTAGTGAGATAGCAGCGACGGCGAGAGACGATGGGGGGGGGGGGGCTATAGCGGCGAGAAACGGTAGGTGGAGCAGAAGTGAGGAAAGCGGTGAGACAGCGGAGGTAGTCAGACATGGCGACTCACTAAGGGATGCTTAAGGTCGACAGAAACATGACAACCAAGATCATGGTGGTAGACCTAAGACGCATGTTTCTTGCTTGCTTTCCTGTCGTCCATGGCCTGGCGCTACTGGCGATTTCGGCCGAGAGGCGAGAAGACAATGTTGAATTATTACGAGCGAGCGAGCGCAGCGAGCGAAGTGAGTCTTTTCAATATAACGGAAAAATCTCAGTATGAGCGGCCCGGCCCGGCCCGGCCCGGCCCGGCCCGGCCTGTAACGCTTTTGAGAGGCTTATATCTCAGCAACCGCTGGACCGATTTGCCTGCGGTCTTTTTTGCTGGGTAGCCCCATCCCTTCTACCCCGTAATTGACTACTTTTGACACATCTCAGTGACCGTCGTGGCACGTGCCACGTGAAAAGTCAAGGGTGTTCAAGCTGTTTCGCAAAAGTAGTGATTTTGAAAGGCTCATATTTCAGCAGCCGCTTGGGCGATTGTCTTGCGGTAATTTTTGTAGGGTAGCTGCATCCCTTCTACCAAAGGTCGGGTACTCTTGACCTATGTGAGTGACCCCCACTGCACGTGCAAAATACAAAAAGAAGAGGTGCCAAATTTGTTCCCATTTCAATAACTCGGTAATTACTGGGGCGATTTCGCTGAAACTTGGCATACAGGTAGGCACCCACCAGACAATGCATTCCCATATGTTGCGGTTAGGGTGCTACTGCACGTGCGCACGTGCAGGGGGCGCTTCCAGATCTCGAGAACGGCTGGGCCGATTGCGCTCAAATTTGGTACACGGTTGGGGACCGGTTAGTAGGGTGCCGTGCAAAAGTCAGTTTGGACCCCGTTTGCACGTGCGCACGTGCAGAATGCCGCTTCCAGATCTCAGGAACGGCTGGGCCGATTGCGTTCAAATTTGGCACACCGCTAGCGACCGGTTAGAAGGGTGCTTTGCACAAGCCCCGTTGGAAGTACCCTCTCGCCCTTCCGCACGTGCAGGGCCAACTATCTCGCTCGCTCGTTCTTCGCCCAAAAGGCGTTTTACTGGTTGGTAGCTGGTTATAGCGGACAGAAATAGCAACAAACTTATGACCAAACAATCGGAAAGTCATTATGTGAAATGGAGGGTAAGCAGTGTAAAAAGGCTCGCCAGACTAGGAAAACCCTCATTCGTTGGGAAACCAGTAAGAATGCAATCCAACTAGCGACGGAGTGAATTGAAAACCAGGAACACGAAAGTATAGTGGTGCTTACATAAAGAAACATCGTTCCAACATTTACCGCACCGAAACATGCTTCCCGAAGAAATCCTATTTGCACACACATAAACCATTGCAAAGTGAGTTCGCGTCGCTAATCAATAACCACCACCACTGAGCCTAGTAGGTTCAAAAATGCACTATTCCAGTGGCCGGTAGCATCATGTTTACTAATTGTTTAGCTGTGTTTTGATTTCATCACCGAGCAACAAACGGCCTAGCCATGGTAATGATTAAACGAAATCAAAGGTGCTGCCGCCTGCCCGCGCCATTTAGCTTGCACGTACATGAAACGAGCTTCTGTCGCGTCATGAGAGGCACTGCATCAGAAGGAGTACTTTAAGTTCTAACGACTTTGATGGGGAAACGAGGCATAAAGATGAGCCATTAGTCGGGTCAGATGGACATGCATAATTGGATGTCAAAAGTACTTGTACACCAAAGTACAAATTAATCAAACTCTAGCAACGTCTCAATCAGACGACACCAAGGCCTAGGTAATCAGTTAGCAACGAGTCAACACTACAAATACCAATAGCATGGTAAGCACCCTGACTTCACCTGCAAAATGAATAATAAAAATGAACATATAGCCGGCACCAGAGCACACTTCAACCACATAAACCACTTTGGGTCGCATGCCTGGCCGTAACCAACTGAACTCGGCAATTCCCTGACCACAACCCCTCCCCCATCTCCCACGTCACCAGGCGGGAGATCGCCAATTATAGCTTCGGTTTGAACACACCGTTCAGCATATGTGACGTGACGTGAGCAATGAACATCGGCCGGCACTGCGGAACTGCTGGTGCCGGTGGTATCACTAGAGGAGGATAGTGATGGCTAATGAGCTCATCAGGCCAGGATTAGTCCACAGGGCAGGTCACGGGCCACGGTCACGGGGTCATATGACAAGTTACAGACCAGTTCACAATCTAGGCCACAAAGGTAAGGACGTAGGTCAAAGTGGTCACAAAGCAGATTGCGAAGGTCAAGACTAGATCACACACTAGGTCACACAGTAGTAGGTCAAGTCGTACACAGTAGGTCAAGTCGTACACAGTAGGTCAAGTCGTACACAGAAGGTCAAGTCGTAGGTCACACAGGTCACGGATCACTTCGAGGGTCACAACTCACAACGTAGGCCACAGATGTCGAGACACACGCCAAGGCGTTATACGCCACAAAGGTCACAGAATAGGTCACAGCAGAGGTCATTAAACGGGTCACGACGCTCATGTGACCGTCGTAGACGCTCCAAGCGACACGACTAACCGGGACAATGACAAAGTGCAGTAGTTTCTAGACCCCATTACCATGACGCGCTTAGTGGGTTTCATGTTCAGACCGTGTGATGTGTATTTCAGTAACATGAAGCCTATTATTGTTCTGGGATTGAACGGAACTCTGCCGTAACGGGTATGCATTACACAGGAAATACAGTCTAACACAGGAAATACGGTTGAGAAAACAAGGCCCGGCGCAGCGAGGAATGCAAGAGGTTTGCCGTTTCGCTAAATGTCATGTTCCGCAGTGTCACCAAATTTCACCACTGACGCAGCCTTGAAGCACAATTCTTACAAATAATGATGTTGCTTACATCATTACCATTAATATCCTGGAGAACAAAGAAACAACTGGAAACCTTGACAGTTTAAACACATCACGAAGACTGATAACTAAGACCTGTTGAGGTTGTAAGAATACACAAAAGCGATATAATCTCAATGATAGGCTGCGAAGGCAGATCCTATCCTAGCTCCTCTCCCTTTCTCCGGCTCCCAATGCAAACAATCTATCCAGTGTAATCATGTAAACAATCACGTCCGTCCCTTCCCCTACCCTACCGCAGTCACGACCTGCAGCTAAAATGCTGCGCATTGCCGCCTACTCGGACCGAGTTCGGGACTCACCGTTTGAGCATGGCTCTCACGCGGCAGTAGTGGTCATAGCTGAGCACCAGGGCACATGACTCGTTCACGTCCACGGTATCATCTGCGGCACAAACACCACCAGGAAGGTCAGCGAGGTCTGGTTAGACTCCATAGGCGAGGCTATGTCAAAACTTACAGGCTTACAAGAGGTGGGAGAATAGAATGGCTAAGATCTGGGATTTGGCGATACCGATTCGACACACGAAGTGGCGGACGAGTGCGGAAGCCAGTCATTGTGAGTAAATGTAATCAATAAGCAAGTGTTGATCGCACGTCACTGAGAACGGCCTGCCCCTAACAAATAGGTCACACCGCTCGGCCCGATACGCGGGCGAGAACTACGAGCGGGTCAGGTGACCACCGATCGGTAACGTAAGCCGATAAATCCAGCGTGATCGCGCGTTGGTGGCTGTGAAAATAAACATCGGCCGCGAATTCGCCGAGAAGCGGGCGACAAACGGCTTCGCTGAGCCGGCAAGTTACTCAGGGATGGGCGCTTGGACCGGTGTGAAAGATTGCACAACGGAGTTAGTCATTCTATTGCAGTTACTACCTACCTGTCCTGAATTGTGAGGTGCTTCCCCTGGCAAGGTGTGCCACTATCTGAGCATAATCGACTCAGGCGAGAGCAAATAACGCTTGTCAGAAGGGGATGGCAGACGATAGTAAGGCGACATGGTTGGCAAATGAAGCAGCCAAATATGGATGATATGCTCGTTACACAATGCTACACATGGGACTGCAAAACCAGGAAAACACGCCAGCTCTTGATCATCGTAGCTCCTTCCCCACCGCCGGCATGATTTATCTAACAACAGCATCACCTACTCATCCCTTCCCATCCTATCTTATCTGTAAGAATCTTGCCCATCCCAATCCCCTTAAACCCAGCGCCCATCCACCAGCCCCAACCAATCCCACTCCCCTCCCACAAATCTCACCGAGTTCTCGTTTGACGCGTGCCACGTCGTCCAGGTCGAGTCGTACGTTGGTACACGTGGACCGGAACACTGCCGGTGGTGCTGAGGGGTCGTGTGCTGTGCCCACCTCCCTACCGGCCGCCCAGCCGTCACCAGCCATGACCACGGCGGCCAGGTCCTCCAGGCGGAGAGTGAGCTTGTCCTGGATCGCGAGCACTTCATCCTGTGGGGGAGAAGAGGGAGTGGTGTCAGATGAAGAGTTCGTGAGAGAGAAAGAGAGAGAGAGAGAGAGGGAGAGGGAGAGGGAGAGGGAGAGGGAGAGGGAGAGGGAGAGGGAGAGGGAGAGGGAGAGGGAGAGAGAGAAAGACAGAGACAGAGAGAGAGAGAGAGAGGGAGAGGGAGCGGGAGAGAGAGAGAGAGAGGGAGAGGGAGAGGGAGAGGGAGAGGGAGAGGGAGAGGGAGAGGAAGAGAGGGAGAGAGGGAGAGGGAGAGAAAGAAAGAAACGGAGAGATGAAAGAGGGGAGAGAAACAGAGCGTATCATCACGACCGATGGCCATGGAGTCGAGGGTGTTTGAGAACAGATACTAAGCCGATGACGGACTGGTAAGCCCACAGATTTTCCAGCAGTATATGGAATGCTGACAAGACATAAGCACAAAATATGGCATGAATTACACATGACGGAACCAACGACTTCGTAGTAGTTAAGCACTGACCAATGACGTAATGTGCACGCGAACAAGTCTGCCTGGACATATGTAATGTAGGCTGTGCAATGTGCATACATTAGCGTGCACCATCCGCTCGAACAGTGAAAGTCAACTAGGAGCAACATAAAAAATATGCATGTCTACTACACGGTACGAAAAGGCACACTTTTGGTTTGTACAACAGTCAACAATGAAAATGGATTCATCCCGGTTGAGCCCATCACAAGGCCTTGACTTTCGTTCGTGCACGAATTCGTTCTACACGAGCGATATTCAGATAAGCCTGGGAAGTTCCAAATGATAATAATGATGGCGCCTGCAAGGAAGCCCATCACAACAATGTTCCCAGATAGCATGCACGATAAATGTGGTGAACAACATATTCCGTTAGACACTATTTAGCAAGCAGCATGCTATGCAGCTATTATCCTCAGTGAAGGTTACCACTTTGTAAACTTGAATTATTTTATTTTAAATGTACTTTACCCCACTTGATGAGCAAGGACGCTTTACGCCGGTGGTTGCATACAACCGTGAATAGTGCACGAGAAGGGGGGAGGGGTCAGTTAAGATATAAACACGTCACACTCAGCACCAGGTGTCTGGACAGCGCCAAATTGGGTCGATACATCGATTCCGCTCGCTTGGCTATTTCGTCGGCAGTTCACCGACGCAGGTGCCCTTCCCTTACCCTAATCATTGCTCAATGACACAGATCCATTAACACGGTGTCAGAAACACAGTGTCAGTGACACGACTAGATTGCCACGTCAGTGACACGTCACCGACATGGATTAGTGATACGACTTCAGTGACACAGTTCCCGGGACGCTGCGACGTCGGCCATCGCAGGATCAGCTGACAGTCGCCCCCCCCGCCCCCGGGACGGGGGGGGGGGGGAGGTGACCTTGACCTACTCCACTACCTAGCCAGCCGCGCCCGGTCAACAGCGACTGCGCGCAGGGTCGAAAGGTCACCGCTACCGCCGACGTGGCTGCTTTCGTGGCGACAGGCCTGGTCACGTGACAGCCAACAATGCAGGCCATGGGGACGGTGCAAGTGGATAGTACGGACTTATACGGTTATATATTCTTTGATGAGGTGCACATGCAATGAGACGTGTTTGTGACGTGTTTCTGCAAATAGCATGAAACGTGAGCTCCGAGGCGATAATGGAAGTTTGCTAGAGGTTTTAAGCTTCTGGCTCGCATGTTTACTGTTTAGGTTAGAATTAAAATTTACACGGAAAATGTGACGTGTCAAATACATAATTAAGTTATCTTTACGATTCATGTGTTGATTTATTGCCGCCCGCCTGCATGAGCGAAAAACTGGACTGAAGACTGGAGAGTTGGACCCTGCACTATCTCAAATCACATTGAGCAACACTGACCCAGCCACTCGTCGGGACTGTATCACCCAGTGAGGTCTATGTTTAGCCCACCTGATTATTAACGCACTGCAGAGTATGCACACGCACGACCCACGTCAGTACAACGACCACTGTGTAAGCGATCCCGATTAAACGGGCCGGCAAACGAGCTATGAATGTGCCGAGTCGTGCCATGTGATGACGCGATACATAAGAACATCGGTCTCTAAATTTCACCCGCACGGAAAACATGTTTACTTACAACATAGGCGCGGGAACCGGGGGGGGGGAGGGGAGTGGGGCAGCTTGCCCCGCCCCCTAACTCTGGGGCCGTGGGGGTGGTGCCCCCACAACTTTAAGGCGGAATATCGCACTTTTTTGCACATGTTTTCTTCTTTGATGAGAAAGCCAAGGGATGAAAATTAAGTGGCCCAAAACCGGTGAGAAAACTAGATTTGGGGGTACCCTAGGTTGATCTCTATCCCCCCCCCCCAGCCTAGCCCAGTCCAGCTCAATCAGACCTATGGTATAAGCACATAGCATTGGTGTTCAATATAGCGGGATTCAGAACGGAGCCATATCATTTGTCACTGCTGATTCCGCGGCAGGGTTGAGGCAGTAAATCAGCCCGACCCCGCCATCGTGTAGCCCGGGAGTCGGTCATCATGTGACAAGAAATGACCGACACAACATGACCCACATGGAGACAGGCCACCCTGAATGCTACTAATTGCTTATACTAGTTCAGTCAGAACGGCAAACCACAAGACATATATTGTAAATATCCAACAGGATGCCATGAAAACATTAAAGTAAAATTGTCATAGGCACCGGAAGCTATATAACAGCTGGTGCTATGCTACTACTGCTTTTCAAAGATAGCAAGGATAGTGACGATACCCCAACAATTCCTGGGAAACGGCACCCAAACTTCAAACTTTATAACAGAACGCCCACAAATAAAACTGACCAGTTTTCCCACCCCTGGCCTTTGAGTCCACAAAGTTTCAGCAAGAAATGTTCAGACAATTCTCCAGCAACCACAAGGAATGAATTACTGCAGCAGCACGGCATCGATCTACTAAAGCCGGCTTTACACTGTACCTCACACATAGGCGAGCTCGTGTGAACATGGCAAGTGTCGTGACAGGAGAAAATATCGTGCGAAGTATGGCAGACTACGCAGTACGCACTACCGATTATATAACATCATAGGCTGCTACATGATCGATCCTCGATCAGTTCACAAATAACAGGGCGACCAGGCTAGGGCTTTATAAAAGTCCACTGCATTTAAGCCTTTCCAAAAACAGGGACGCATTAGCCATCGCTTTGAAACGATCCGCTATGCTTTCTACAAGGTCTCACCAAAAATGATCTAAGCATTCGGTGTACATTAATGAGCAGACTTACAATTATGCCAAAGGGTAACTAGAACGACAATGAGGCCTTCAAGGGCTCACATTGTACCCAAAGGACATACTCAACTTTACCAATAACTTCCGGGGTGAACGGGTTCAATGCTACCTATCCTCGGACCTCAATACAGAGCCCTACTGTCGGTCGTAATGTTGCGCAAAACGTAGGACAACGAAATAAAACGCATCATTACGAGTCATCCGACAGTTACAGTATGCGAACTCCACAACCCAATTCTAGACGGAACTGGTGCTTGGTTACCTGACATAGCTATACTTGGTATATAGACGCTCTTGGTATATAGGCAACATGTATGGGTTCCTGCTGCCTGGAGAATGCATCAGATGAAGGCTAACATCCTGCCTCTGACAGGATAGTCATACATTGAGTTAATTGACAGACACAATGTCCTTACATTGCTACCTTATTTGTTTCCAAACATGTCTATTGTCTTATACTATCAACCTGATCTGGCCAGAATGACATTATTTTTGGCAGCGACAAACGTTTTCCAGAGACGGTAAAACCGTCCATATTTTTCCGTCATGCTTCCTCGGTGGCATGTCCTGTATGAGACCATCAAGTCTCAGCTATCGCCGAGGTCATATTCGGCTAAGAAAACCAGTTTTTGCACCGCATTCCCTATGGGATGCCACGGGCGAATTCGGAGAACCACATAGCCCAAACCGGACGGCGGTAGTGCAACGTATGAAGCGGTCTTCAACAGGCATTTAACATATGAATAAATAGTCTCAAGTTCTTTAGCCAAGTGAAAGCTGAATGGGATGAAACAATTCGGATAAACATGCATTTTAAATGATTTAGTGCTTGCTGTTTGTGAAGCGTCTTATCCAATTATTTCATTTTAACAAGTTAAGCAAAAATTTCGGTATTGATGTGAACAAGTCCCGCGGACGAAATATCCTTCAAAACAAAAATATACATGATTGTAAAACGGAAATATCGCAACAAGGTAACTCAAAACAGATCAAATATGAAATGTTACAAGTGCGTCAGAAAGTTAACTGAATTTGCACCATCCGGTCACAAATGAGAATCAGGTAGTTGCAACTTGCATCAGCACCATAAGTACCGTACAAGGTCCCGATAATTCGACACGGTGCACCCGGAAATACATTGAGCAATCACGTTCGCTTGATTTGACGGTACCTATCGTGTGACGTACCGATGACCTCATCCTGAAAACGCCAGAGCTAAAGCATCGAACAAGTGCCTGTAACGATATCACTATTTCGGTAGAGGACAGCACACACATTTTCCTGATCCAATCCGTGGCTTGGTGTTACTTGACCGATGTCGAATAACAAAGCCACTTTCTCGTGTCGGAACCAATGCACCATGCAAATACGGCGCCCATGATTCAGCAAAACCGGCGGCCGATGTCTCGCCGATGATTCGTCGAATTCGGGCTGCCAGTGCAGAGCCGAGAAGTGCGAGTCATCAGAGTATCCCCTTGCTGGTAACCAGCGAGGGCTCATCGCCGGGTAGGATCGGTCCTAACTCGACGGAGTGGATTCACTCAGCGCAGCGGGTCAGTGAGGCAGGGATTCGACCGCAACCGGCTCGAATACTGCCGTCGTAGACCGGGCCGATCCCCGGAATAACTGCATGGGGCGCAGACATGATAGCCGTAAGCCGACGATAGCAGCAGCGAGCAGTCGCCACACCAATTCCGCATCCGGGGTCGAGCCGTGTTCGGC